TGGTACATTAGAGGAAATAATGTGCGTTGGCATTAGAATCTCTACATTGACGTTTATAGCATCGTAAAACTGCATGGCCACGTATACCACGTATTAACACCAGTTAGACTATGTGTAAAACAGCAATAACTATTCAAAGTTTATTAAGCCTTTTGAACGCCAAAACTTGTGAACATATTTCGATATATGCTTAGTGTATATATTATGATCGTGAAGCTGTTTGCCGTTTGTTCAACGGGCTCATTACTATAATAGAAGCGGTATATACTCTCCACACGAAGTAACTTCCTATAAGGTAACGTCACAATTACTATAGTTTGTAACTCGCGCTGGCCAAATATATTTGTTGGCATACAACAAAATCAAGGTTTATTTACAGTGAATCTGGTCTATTGGTGAGATTGTTCGCCAAAACCTGAAGGTATGCTGTACAACTACGGTAGTTCATGACTAAAACTCCTTTTTCGGGTGATTATAATTAGTGTTTGTCACTGATCTGGTGTTGGTAGCTAAATATAATTATCCACGTACAAATAAATCATCATGCATGACATATTTAATACTACTTGCGGTCTATTAGCGCGAAATATTATTTTAGCACTCGGTGCAATCTAAAGGCGATTTTCCACTTACAGCGAAATCGTTCGCTAGCGAAATATTTGCATATTTTCTTTTGAATTGAAAACAGTCAAGTCGCACTAATTTATTTATGCTGTTAAAATTCAAAAGAAAATATGCAAATATTTCGCTAGCGAACGATTTCGCTGTAAGTGGAAATCCGCCTTAAGCCTGGGCGGACATTTCGACTCCGCAGAGGCTGTTGGTGTATGAAAACTAAGAACGTAATATAAATGAAAAACAGCATTTTTGAATCAATATTTCTCATTTCCATACATCAACAGCTACTTCTGTAATTGCACCATGTAATCGAACCCTTAGTACAATCTAATTGTGGTGCTATCGTAGCTATATTGTTCGTAACTACAGCCTAGAATTCGCATCGCAAGCTAACGCCAGAGTGGGCGTCTTGTTATTATTGATTATATGCAAAAGGGGCTTACCACTTACCAGCTTCTCCCAGATTAGCCTGCAATGACTGGAAAGGTTCTTTGGAAATGAAATAAACAAAGCCTTACCAATTGTAAAATTTATTTTCTTTTAATAAAACATTGTAATTTGTAAAAATAATAAAACAGTTTCTGTATTTAAGAATGTGTGTAGTTCCTGGGTATAATAGTATGGTTGTCTCAATTTAATTCTCCAGAATTTTGCATAACATGCCTCCACTTGATCTACCAAACCCTATGTTATCCCTGCAAAAAGAAAGATATGTCAGAGATTAACTGCATGTATAATACACCCTGTAAGTGTTGACAAAATTAGTACAGATAATTTAGTGTCAGCTACTGAGGCCATGATGATGCCTCAGTTGGAGGTGTGAGTGAATTTAGGCAAGTTATTCTCAGACCTTGCTCCTTCAGATTATATTTTTGTTCCTATTGCATCCTTATATACTTTGATCTAATATACTTGTATGATTTTTCATGAAAAGATGGGCTATAGACACATTGATGATTGATCTGGTTAGACCTGAGTTTTGGCTCAACTACATGGATTTAAATCAGTGTAAAATATAATGGATAAACAAATATTAATAGAAATATGTTGTAGGTAAACAAATTAAATGTTAGTAAATATATCATTTCTGTTTTCAGATCTTTCATAGCCGTCGAACTACGAAGCTAAATTTTTTACTTGACGTTCAGAGTTCAAACATCAAAATTGCGAAAAACTCTTACCTGAGTGCAAATCGCCAAAAATTTCCTCTTTAATGAGTAAATTGCGGTAGGAACAAGCAGAGCAAATAGCTGCTTCTTTGTTGAAGTTGAAAAGAACCAGCAAAAAAGGAAAAAAATCCATGTTTTTGTTCAAAAACAAAAAATTTCGTAAAAACCAAATCCTGTTTTTATCGAAAACCAGGAGGGTGCTCGCATTTTTTCATGCTTAGGATCGCGGTTGGTCAGTGGTAACTACCATTGCAAATAAGAACCAGTGGCGTCAATCTGGCGTCAGCAAAGGCCAAAATCCGCCATGTTTTTTGCTTCACTTTTTGTATTTCAAAACATTAGGAGCCGGTCCTCCAGGAATTATATTATAGCTCAGTGTGACAAACTGAGTAACTGACATCTTCACACAGCAGATTGACATTGACAACTTCGACACGATTGACAATTGTATACTGTTAAATCGTTTAAATTGAAGTACCATTTTGGTATAAACGGTATTGCCTTATCCTGGTTTGAGTCCAGTCCTACCTCATGAATAGGAAACTACTTTTCATTTCTCGCTTAGACTATTATTAGAACTTCATTGCCATTGGCTGTTTTGTTGAATTTCGGATTGAATTCAAGATTTGCTCGAATTTAATTCCTATATATCAGTGAGCCTCTGATAAAAAACATTACTAGATTCAATTTCCAGGCACAAGTCATTATCGTATTGCTTAAAAGCCTCGCTCTTATCACACGTTTGTTTAAATTAGTTTTTAATAGACCAAGAGTGTAAATGTAAGGGTGTGAGGGTTGAGTCGGTTTGAATGAAAACTATAATGCCTCATCGGGAAGGATACCATACAGAGAATTTACTTACAACGAATATGTATGATATGTTTCTATACAGTAGTCAGTATACTACATAATTTATACACATGCAATAATAATTTGATCTATGGTTCAAGCTTTTGACTTTGCACGATTGACACTAATATAATACCAGAACTCGCCTGCAATATACTCACTAATACATGCGTCATGATTACATCCAAGCTATAAAGACACTATATTACTTCAGGTCAAATTTTTTGTACACCCCGTTTATAGTTAAGATATGATTGATGCCATAAAGTTTGGACAATTGGACTGCACAAGACGGCGATTTTGGTTAGGTTGGCCGATTAAAAAAACATAACAAACTATTACTCGGCTAAATATAGAATACATCATGTGTACTACATGCATCACAACACGATCAAAATAGTATTCAACTTTTTCTGTTTCTACTTTCTCGCTGTTTGACTGGCCAACAATTGGATTTACAGTGAGCACATTTTTGATATTTCCCAATAAAACTCTTATTGCTTTTCCAAGAAAAGTTGCATTCTTCACAGTAATATTCCCCAAAGCAAGGCTCAGACCCACTGTATGCCAGAAATGTGACTACGAGTGATCCTTTGTTCACTGGAGCAAACTTAAGATTTCTTTCTTGCAGAAGTTTCTCGACTTTTGGTCGGATGTGCTGTTCATTATTCCTACTGTGATGACCAGCTCCGACAATGATTTCGAGCCAAGGTGTGTTATTCAAGATTGCTTCTTCGAGGTCAAAATTTTCCAATGTTTCTTCAAGCTTCCGAATTGCCTCATCACCTTGAGCTCGAAAATCATTGATCATATCATTCACCTTTTTACTGTTGTGCCCGCGTTGCCTTGAAAAATCCGATTTCAATAATTCCAGCTTCTTCTCATCCGCGACAAGTAAACCATGAAGATCAACAACACATACCTCACGGTGAAAATTGAAAAACTCGAAAATTTCATCACAAGCTTCACGATTGTAGCAGTTCATTAGATTGCCATAGTGATCCCGAAAATTCCTGAAAATTTTCAACTGTTGTTGAGTAGTACCTGACAGTTTACTTGCTGTGGAAATCTTGTTCTTCCATGTCATACGAATTGCGGCCGCTTCTGAAGCTTTTCTTCGATAATATAGCCCACAGAGAAGATGCTGAATGACCTCTTCACACGCACGGTGACAATTTGGATGAACATTGCTTAAATCAACGACGACAACATTTTCATGTTGGATTTCCTGGACATCAGGAGGAACTTTAAGTTTAAAGATTCTGGCAATGTTCTTAACATGAGCCGATCCAGGACCTAACAATTCGTCTATTTTTACATTTCTACACAAAATGGAGTGAGTGCCCGGCAATAACTCACAATCATCATAATCATAAGGAAGAAATGGTTGCATCGAGCCATCGTCTCTTTGTATGGAACTACTACAAGCTTGCGATCTTCGTGCTGAAATAGCTCTGGCATTTTTATCATTTAGGTCGTTAAACGTTGAAGGAGTTTTGGCAGGGGTGAATCTCGACTTGTAGGAACTATTTGTGCCTGATTTCCCTGCATAGTAGTTGTTGATTCTGTTCGTCTGAGTTTGTTTTGGTTGGCCGGTGTTCGATAACAGCTGTCTGCCGGTTTCACTATCCGCACTACTCGATGTTGTCGATGGACGAATGCAGGAAGCAAAGAAACCAATAATTTGTGCAAATATCCCCATGCCTTTAAACTTTGGATAATTTACCACCGATAAACCGTCTTATATCAAATCAAATATATAAAATATGCGAAAATGTTGTCAGTTTGATGTTGACTGTTACAAGTACAAACGGAAATAGGCAGGAGAAACGTCCGTCGGTTTCGCATCAAATTACAAATAAAAAGCCTTAACTTTAAGGCCGTTTTCCACTTCAACCGTACCGTAGCGAAACGTAGCGTATTTTATTGTTTTAAAGTCATTCGTTCTGGTCGAATACTTCGGAAACAAAGAAATACGTTACGCTATGTACGATACGGTTGAAGTGGCAAACAGGCCTTATACGAAACGCACGAATAAACAACACACGTTGTTTGCATGTACAGTGTACACGTCCACTACAATAATAAACGCGTATTTATACTATCAAGAATTTCGGAAATATTTGTATATATTCGAAAAACAACAAATTCATGAGTTGCAGTTGAGAAAGTTTCTTACAAATTGGTGAAGTTGGTACTAAAAGAAAAGCTGAGAAAATCCGGGGACATTTAAGAAATGGGGCCCTTCCCCCCTGCCTTTACTCTAACGGCAGTCGACTCTCCATGTCCATGACGTGACAGATCAGATGCTCAACCTCTATGTGCTCAACAGCTCAAGCAACCTCGTTCATATAGACGCGCTCGTGTTAGAAAATGCAGCATGCATATTGGTCAGCTAAATTGTCTGGCGTGAGAGAAGTAAATGGCATTTCATCATTTCCATGGATAATACAGTAAATATATAGCGTACCACGGAACAAAAAAATATACGATACAATGAGGTGAATAAAACTTGATAGTCTTAAAATCTGTTTTCATGAAGCAAAAGCCGCGGATAGCAATGTGCAAATTGTCAAGACTGTTAACGAAATCATCGTAGTTTCACTGCTTGAATCGCTAACGATAAATTTCAAGCGTTTGTAACCCCCTGTACAGCCTGCAGTTCCATTACAAACCAACTCAGTTTTATAGATCGCTGATGCCTCGTCTTTAATCTGACATTTGGTGGTGCAATATTCTGGTGTTATATGACCTCTGCTGTCGTGTATATCTTGCTTCTTTCGGTAAGCGACGCAAACCTGGTCCCCGTAAAATTTGGCTGTTACGGCGTAACCGTTCACAGTATCTTTCATGTCCACCACCTGAAGTTAATTTTTAATTTCTTAAATTATTATTACATTAAAAGATGAAAATGATCCAGTGGTGTGGTTGCTTAAAAGCGAACTTAACTAGACGTATTCAACTAAGTATAAATATTTAATTAAATAGTTTGCTAAGAGCATAGCTAAGCGTTTCAATTGTTCAGTAACTATCTTCTAGCTCTTTGAGTGCACGGCAGACTCGGCAGTCTTATTTAAACGCTCTTCATCGACTAGTTAACCAACCGGTAGGGCACGGTTCTTTTATGTGAACATGGGGTGTATTTTAGCCCTCTGTCTAGGGCTATAATAGATCTATAGGCATAGCTATATATCTCTTATGATATAATATAAACACCGGCCCCCTTGACTCACCTGATATCGTTTAAGAACCATTTTACTCGATGGTTGACTCTTACATTCATCGACGAATTTTTTTGTTTCACTGTATGCTGGTCTAAAACAGTGATATAGTGAAAGCACCACAGATTCCTTGGGACCTGAACTATAGACGTCCAATGGGAGGCTGCACTTTTCAGTGAAAGCTAGACTCTCTCCGACACATAAAAACAACAACACCTGATAATGAGTTGATCGCATCATCGACAAAATTACTTGATTTGATACTGGAACTTCATTGGTCTTTATTTGTCACTTTCCACGAGCATTGGAGTGGTTTTGTGAAATGTTTTATTGGCTAAGGGTAGTGATTCGAATAAAGTTGAACACATTGTTGTGGGTTTGCGTCATCATTTTGGATGACCACACGAGTGGCTACATCCGTAGGAGCAAGTTCATACTAAAGTCCTTTGTCATCTTGCTGAAGAAAAATCTTACTCGAGAATTCTTGGGGGAGGGTTTCTTGTCGCTTGTTTCTTGTCTCTTGTCAACAAACGTGTAACATAATTTCTCACGGATTACTTTTCTCACGGATTTTAACTGCTCAACTTTTTCTGCGGAGAAAACAGGAAGAAGATAGTCGGTCACCTGGATTCCATGAATTTGAAATGAAGTTCCTTTTGCGTCAAAGGTACGTACAAAGACCTAATTAGCGATTCTATTTTTAGTGAGTTTAAATTGAAATTTAGGTAGCGCTGCCATAGCGTCATTGATAGCTCTCAATGTGACTGCATGTAGGGGTTTGCATGGGCTATCGTTCCTTTATAGATTGTGGAATGAAACCACAGTGATTTATCATAAACGACAGAAAATTGCGTCGCTAATATTAAGTTGCAATATGATGCATATGGATGCATAACAGTTTTTATTATTATTCCTATAGTATGCATGACATTTTTATTTTACTCAGTTTAATACGGAAAGATTCTTTCACAATTTTCTTCTAACACCAAATTACTTCACTTGTCCGGAAGGAAATGGTAGTGCTCCGGTGTCTGGTGCTACACAGAGTAATCAAGTACAGTATGCATTTATAGAATTATAACATTTTTTTTGAGACTTGAGTATCTAATGAGAAATGATAGGGGATTGCATTTATATTAGAATGCTTGACTCAGTTCACTGCATGGGTAAATTTGGTATCGGAACTCAGTTTGGAGTTTTGATGATTGAAGACGCTGCCACGCTTCTCCTTGCACATCAACGTCTTTTTTTACGTTTTCTCGACCAGGTCCAGGCGTCAAGTCTCGCACAAATTGCTGGTTTATTCAACAAACATAGGGTACATAGTTTGAACAATGCGCGGGAGCTTGTGACCCTGAAACGTTAACTCAGCGAGCGTACAAGATTCAGCCATATCTACATATCCAGGGGGCTCGAAACCTGACGAAGGAAAAAAATACTGGGTACGAGATTCAGGGCTCGGACATTTGTTATACAGTATATACTCGTTGATTTTATAATTTAACCTAATTATAATGTATGATAAGCTTAGGTATTGTTATTGATTGTAAGCCACATTATTGCATTATTGCCTACGAGATACGAATCGCATGAAATTAGATTCGATAAAACCAATCTGAGACCTCTTAAAATTTGTTGTTCTTAGCGAGAATGATGTCAGAAAAATGGTTTTTATAGCCAATCCTGTTTGAAACATTCAAAACGATGTTCATGTAAAGCTATACAACCACGACAAGTCATTAGCTCATTGATGAGTCATTAGCGCTTATACCAACGAGTCGTTGACCGAACGACATAAACATTCATACAAACTGGTATCGCTGTTCGTGTTTAACAATGTGAATATTTTTGTGTCCAGGTATTTTGATGTGAAGACTACATATAGATACTGGATGGTTGTATACGCCCAACATTCCTACGATATATGTGTATTCCTACGTCTATGGTGAGGTGAAAATCTTCGTTCCGGAAAAGTCTATGTAATAAAATTAATATGATGATCCACTCAATATTGATTTATTAATCGTAGAGTAGATTTGCCGTTGAAATACACGCATATGTGGAAACCGAATTTCTGAAATCGCAACTCAGCAAAGCTACGCGATTATCGTGCAAAGAAATTGTAGAGTAGTCTTTCACAGTTTTCTACTTGGTATTTGTTCACATTGGAGTTTAGGAACGATCTAACGTATCACGTTTTAAAAGCGAGCTTTATATTTTACCAAACCGCCTTTTTTGTCGCGGAACTAGATCACTTAGCATATTCTGTTACATTGTAGTGTGAACGCCCGACCGACAAATTCGATCCTGGAACGATCTTGAACAGGACTTGTTATTATTGGTGAAAGCATGATTAAGAACACTCGTTCTCAAACGGCTGCTTGTTCAAGAACTCATTCTGGGACACACAACGTCAACGCACGTTTACCTGGTGCAAGAGTGCAGCAGCCGAACAGTGCAAACAGACTTTCTCCGACACCGCCCTCGGCAGTTTCGCGACGATTCCCAACGTCGAAATCTCTTGAAAAGAACAATCAGAAATTGTTCAGTAGATCAAAATCTGCGCCACCAGGTCCACGTCAGCATCACTCGAGCAGCGTTCTTGACATTCGCGGGAAACTGTACGAGAACGGCAAGACATTTGATATGATGTCTCGTCTGAAAGGCAAATCATTTCCACGACGAATTCATCGTCTCATCAACGAAACGCCTGATAGTACTTCAGAAAACAGAAACGATTGTAGCAACATTTCGGTAATTGAAGTAAATTATACCGAAAATGCACTATCATCCGGTCAAATTGCCCTAAATAATAAACAGCTTCTGGAAAGAAGACGAGGCCTTCACCGACAAAGATCGACAAACAGGTCCGAGGTAAGTGAATCAGTCAGGATACCTTAATCAACTGAGCTGACCAGTGAGAAGCTTTACCATGCATATATAGCTCAGTTAGCTTTTGCTTTGCTTTCTGTTTTTTTAGGCTCGTGCAAAGATCATGCTAACATTCCATCATGTTCTTCTCGTTTGCCGTGTCAAACTGATCATGGCTAAGTATTCAATAGACCTAGTGCCAGCAACTAAAAAGCAAGTTTCGTGGAGCGAGAAGAGGCACACGAGAGAAGCTGCAGAAGTTTTGTTTAGCAAGTCCTTGTACCAGAGACAAGCAATGGTGAGCGATATTCTCAAATTTTGGCAACATTATATCTGCATGTTGTTGAGAAGACAAATTCAGTAGCCGGTCACGATAACATCACCGACAGAGCGGTTATTGGTAGAACGATTTCTCGGACCATTTTAAAGACGAAGGAACATCTCCAAAAACAATGTGTTAAAATCCAAGATTAGAGTTCTCAAGTCTGACTATAGGCGATGTTACATAATTAAACATGTGATTAATATCCTTATTTCTTGTGCCTTACCGATTATAAATGTGTGCTGTAAAACATCTTTTAGAGAGAATTGCTGGATATTATAAGTCTCTATTATATATCTTACAGTGATACACATTCCCCAGAACCCCTTGAGTTTTCAATCTATTTTCTTAGATATATTCTCACGTACCGAAATGGGCTGAAGTGATCTTAAGAAAAGCTCCTAGTGAGAGAACTGACAGAGAAATTATGCAAATTCACTCGATGATGAAAGGACTGCTTGCATATGATAAGTTTACCCGACGTATTCAAATTGCAATGTGTCGTTCAATGAGGTTTTTAAGGTAACGTTTCTAAGGTTAAAAGTTGGAGACAAGTCATTCATGAAAAGGGATACATGGGAATATACCGCGGACTTTCCTGGATTAAGATTAAAACAGCTTTCTTGAAATTTTACTCTTGTTAAAAACTACACTACAACTCCACTGAGAATCACAATACGTGTGATATACTGTATTGAGTGAAGAGAGAGGGGGAGTTTAAGTCTTTTTACACCTCTCTGAGAATAAGTGGTCGAAACGTGCATGTGTACATAAAAGTGTTATTTATAGTTCTTTTTATATCATTCCAGGATTAAGTATCCACGTGTTATTCTTCGTAAAGGGCACGTTGGACTTGCGTTCTACTTCATTTTTACTGGTTCCGTTTTTATCAATATTGAAGGACTTCATGTTGAGACAAACGAGGTGGCTTTTAAAACTGTCAGTATTCTACAGCGGGGCGACGCTTTCGGAGTAAGTTTTTAGAACAGTAGAATTCGATGGCCATTAACTCCTCGTGGACATCATGCAGTAACAGTATATGCACTCTGTGAAATCGCCACAAATTAGATTTAATTGGGCTTTGCAACGTAAGTCCAATTGTCTCCAGTTATTAATATAGGCGATTCATGAACGACCGTTGTTCTCATTGCATTAAAGGAAGTGGCATTATTACGAAACATGCGACGTACTGCATCTGTCGCAGTGAAAGAAGATGTAGAGTTAATGGTTGTCGACAAATATGTGTTTGGCAAAGTTTGTTCGGAAATATATGAACGGGAAATGAGAGAAAAAATGGAATTCTGTCGGTAGGATAATTTAACAATTCTGTTTCAAATGGAACTTCACGCAAATTTTTGACATGAAGCTATGATAGAAAATTTAGACGCTTCGTTTGTAAAGCTGTTGTATATTCTGTTGCATTGCAATAAGTGTACGAAATAGTAAGCCATATCCTTGAAGTCTAATATGTGTTATATGCATTCATTGGGGAAAACCATGCACAGGTGGTCGCTCCTCTAGTAACGGTTTAGTAAATTAGTGCTTCAATCATTTGATATATCACTTGATGGGATTTAATCACTATAGATCATATTACTAACACCGTTCTCCCCTCTTCCCACTGTAATATCGTTTTAGGGATTTGCCTCTTTTTAAACATTGGAGAGAGGAAGCCATCAAACGTATTTGCCAGGATTCACAGATACACGAGGTACATCTTAGTCAATGGTCTTAGTATGTAGGGAATTTTGTAAGGGTTTTGTGCGGCTTTAACTAATTATGTGAAAAGAAGTGTTCAAAAACTTCGTGTTTTGTGCCCTCACTTGTCAAGGTAGCAATGGATTTTGCAACGGCTACAAACAAGATATTCAATTGTTGTATTTCAGTATAAAACAGATAAAGTAATTGTGCGAAGCAGTGCTGACGAAGAAGACTGGATTTATTTTTGTATGGAGGTAATACTAATAACGGTCTTATGGGGCCAATGAACCCTATAAAAACGTATATCGTGATTTTAGGGTCGATGCAGCGTGATTAAAGCCCTGGAGTTCAACGTGAAACCAAAGCATTCTTCAAGTTTCGTATCCCGTCGTTTAGAAGAAGAGGATTGTGATCGCGGCTGGTATCTTTCGTTCGGCGTGACCGACTCGAAACACAGTCGGAAAAGATCGTATTCCACTGAAATGGAAATCATGAGGGAACTACAGATTTCGTTTGAACAAACTGACTTAAGAAAGATCGCAAAGACGCACATTATTGATGACGATCACGAAGTTATGTCGAGGTAACAAGATTATCCCCTCTACTGAAAAACCGAGTCACTCTCAAACTATGCAAATGAAGATGTTAGATAAGAATATAACACACCACAGTGAATGCCAAACAGTAAAGCTCGGCGGATATCAAGATCGATCAACCATCATTAAAACGATTGAATTTTCGATTTCCAGTCCTAATCTTAGGACCGAAGCCAAATTGCGGTTCTAACAAATTCTATTTTTAAATTTCGTCAGAAACATCAAAGAGAAAGAAGCGAAACTGAAAAAGATGGGAGGAGCGGAAGAAGTGTTGTTCTCATTTGGTAAAAGCTACAACCACTTGCCGCACTGCACAGGGGAAGCACAGTATTGCTTGATAAAGAAAGATGATAAACGATGTTCCTTGTTTGAAAGCAGTAGAAACGCTCGGAGCTGTGAGGACATTGACATAAAGAAAACAGAAAAACGAAGAAAATCGATCGAGTTTACAACTTTGTTGAATGAGGAGATGACAACTGGTCGCTTAAACAAAAGGACTGCCTACTTGAATATTGCAACAATGAAGAAAGGAGATGTTTTTGTAAGTCATTTAGACATAACGGTCATTCTCAAGAGTCACATTATTTATTATATCACAACAAATACACTGATCTCAGTCACTTCCTTTTTAGCTACCAACTTAAAAAAAAAAACGATATATAGAAAACAATTGAAATCTGTATCTATATTTATTTTAATGCATGGAATTACTTCAGTTATAGATTTCTTTAAATCGAATCGAGTAAGTCTATATAAGCATAGAGAAATAAAATTTGACTTTGACTATAAGCGCTACCGCCAATTACTACCGCCAACTATGGATGACCAATAATTAAAGCTCATGATTGGTTAGTATTATAAAACTATCGCATTTGATCTCTGTAATATATACCGGCAGTGGAATTTTGTGGTCGGTTTTAATCTTCATTTAATTCCATTTTGGTTAGAACCTTTACGAAGTGCTTCATCAGACAGGTAGACAACTCATCTTGGTTAGTAACAACGCAAAGATTTTACAAGTTAAGAAACAGACCTTCTTCAAACACGCTACGAAGAAATCTCTAGTAATTGCAAACGTGATGGCAATGGAAAACAAGTACGAGATGAGATTTTTCATAATCTCTTTACTGTGTGTGTTAGTTAGCCCTAATGCTTTACGATTCAAGTTGAGAGATTTGTGTATTTCTCACTTAGTTATCCAGATGACGATGCGTTGTATTACACATTTCGACAGAAATGTTTGTGGGAAGAAGTGAAGACAAGTGTTTTGCAGCAAACTATGGACAAGATAAACGTCACTCATGTTGAAAGAGATCAGGAACCTTCTAAAAAAGTGTTCACGGCGAAACAGCGGGCAAAAAGTGCTCGTCAGGTTTCCCGAAAATTTTTGTAATTTGTAATTTTGTAATAGTTGGAATTGTGAAAAAATTTGTTATGCACGTATCTTTGACTTACGCCTTATATAGACATCATACTTTACTGGGAACTTGGTCATGTACCTATGTAAATCAGTAAATCAGCTTGTACAAAACAGCTCGCATTTGGCTGATGCCACGTACCGCGTACATAAGTACATACAGTCATTATTATCTTGCTTAGACATAAGACATTGGGATTTTAGTAACTTATCAGTTGATAAAGAGTAATAAAACGTCCCCTCACTATATCGTTTAGCTACGAATTTTTATAAGTTTCACTTGGATAATTCTGAATATTGTCATAGGTTTTTACGACATCTTCATGTTCATTAATTCTCTCAAGTAATTTATGAACCCTCTCAATATGATTTTTATTAAGGTCAACGAGTGTCCGTGGTAAATATTCCAGGTTAGCTGAGAGAAGAGTGCAGGCATTTTCTTTGGTCAGCTTATTGGAGACTCGTATTAGTTCATCGTGTGCACAAATAAACTAAAATGAATTCAATGATATAAGGAATAGGAATGATTGGAAAGAACTAGAGTGTAATATGCAATGTCGGATGATATAATTCGAGGCCATGTTCTGATAATGCATGATCTCGCTTACCTGAGATCAACTGAGGCGTGAAGTGACTTTGACAAAATGAAATACGTTTTTTGTATGTACCGAGCAGCGTTGACATCATAGAAATAATAGATATTATTGTCTATTATTGTATATTGTATATATGTCTATTATTTCTATGGTTGACATCAACTCGACAATAGCTTGTCTCATCATGATATCTCGCAATGTCTAATTTCAATACCTCAAAATTTACGGCAATAAAGCGGTATCATGGGCTTGAATCATTGACCATATTGTGAATTAGAAAAACTAAAAATTTCCTTTAAAGCACGATTTGTATACGACACTCTTTCGTTTTTACGTACGTAGGCAAGAAGGGGAAGCCAGGGCTAGAAGATTGTGTTACCTGTATAAAAGGTTTTTGCTCAGAATTACTTGCAAATTGTACATCTTCAGCTCCAACATTAATGGCTAACTCCTCTGCCTAAAAAAAAGCAAACATCCTACGCAAACATCCTACGCAAAAAACGATCCTTTTCTTACGTTTCAATTTTTTTGCCTTTGAAACGTCGGTGACTTAATACGGCGTAAATTCGATTCGACGATTTCGAAGGCCGAGGTTATTCGTTGCGTCGAACTGGCAATTCAAACAATAGACGAGATGATAAAGCCATTTTCATCTCACTCATTCCCATTTCAATTTTAAAATGCAACTTATAAACTATGCCTAAGGAATTTCTTTTTTCAATACCTTGTTTAAAATTTCTTCATTATCATATATGTCATTATCTGATGACACCCAACTATTTGTGATATTTATAATCCCTGAAAAAGAGAAAGGTAGAATGAGTACCGTATAACAATTATTACTGGCAGTGGGATTGCTATCAACCAAATGAACAAAATTGGCACAGACAGACATAAGCAGATCTTTTGAATAAAATACAACATGAAATAACCAAAGAAGTATATAGAAAGATACTGACAAACACATGCAGAAGTCCAAAGAAATCAAGAAAATGGGTTAGTCAATGAAAACTACAGCAACACTATTTTGTGAAGTATCCAGTAATGCTATCCTCAATACAAATATTTTACCTTTGTGCTCATACATAAAAGACACAGAACCCTCATCTCCAACATGACCTCTAAGGAAGAAAACAAGAGATCTAGATCAATGCTTGTTGCCGTGATCTTTACGATGTAGGGTGTGTGTACGGATGTTTTGTACTATGCAAATAGTTGAAGGAAAACCAAATTATGTGGCTTGTTTTCATCACATCTTACCCATTTTTTGTAAAAAGTGTTCTTATCTCTGTTCTGGTTTTACTCTTGTTTGATGTTAATGTGTCAACCAATATTCCACATCCACCAGGCCCATGACCTTCTATCAATAAACTGTGACTGACTTCACCCATGTTCTGAAAATGACGAACAAGCCCTTGATACCAATACTTTCCTTGCATGTACTGTGAAACCCAGGTGGATTCTACAAGTATTAAGTAAGCTACCTTAACACCTGACTTGATAGCTGAATCTATTTTATCTTTAGTCATATTTGCAGCTTTTGCACGCTGAATCAAATGCTCCAGTTTTACATTGAGTGTTGGGTCGGAACCACTTTCTGGAATGAGATATTGCCATAGTTGATTAGATCCAGACAATTGAATAATCCTTCTATTAAATGACTCTAGATACATTTAGACAGATCTTTTCTCTTCACTCTTCAGTACAGAGATACCTCGAACAGCTGTAACAATTTCCTTATGTAATCTTCCTAAAACTTTTGCTCTTGCAATGTCTCTATGCATTTTCTTAAACTTTATGTTTGCCCATTTACTGTGTCCAGCCATCGATCTTCTCACAACAATCATAGCTAATGCTAAAATTACAAGAACAAACTATATTAAAGACAAAACAATTGAACACTTTGTCAGAGGCCAATAATGCAATAATATAGTATCCGTTTCACAGCGCTTATGAAATGAAATAGAAGCAAGTCTGAAAACATGGCCTTTCTTCCCAATTTTAAAATGCAAGCAACATTTATTTCTTACTCTATTTGTAACATTAACATATGCATTTATCAATCATAAACCGTCTACTCTGGCACTCTCCAGTGCACTCTTCTTTCAGCCATGTTTTGGCTCAACCTTTTGAAGATGTTACATGAAGTTCTTCACAGTCCCACGGGCTAACCTCTGGATTCCGACAAAGAACCGGTGCAAAAAGAGAATTGTACACATTATTATTCCTATTCCGAATCCTCCCCTCTCGACTTTCATATAGATAAAGTATATATTATGTCATAAGTCATATGGCAAGTAGCAGTGAATTTTCCATCTTTATCCTCCCCACTCCCGAGTCCCGCCCCAATGAGATCTGGTGCCGCCACTGGCACTGGTGCGATTTTCTTCGGCCAAGGTTTAAAAACGTAAATCGGTAACGATGTGATGCTTATCAAAAATTTCATTCCCACCGTGGTCAAGCTAATCAGTTTTCACCTTGCCCGGTTTGCATTTCGGAGTAACACTATCACAATAAGAATATCAAAATGCCGTGAAAACGATCATATATTTATTTTTTCTGGTCAGCCGACTAAAACCGACCAACTAAAATCGCCGGTTGCGGTTGCACAGGATATCACTAATTTATCAAAGACATTAAATCGCATTATAATAAATTTTTAAGAGTAAATTCCGGATGGTGATTCTTCGGGTAAAAGATATATCTGGCGAAAGATTATATTTCACATCTGCTGTGTTGAGTTTCCATTCCAAGTGTTATTTTCGTCATCATCCTTATCAGGTTGTTTAAATGAATGAATCTTTCCATCCTTCTTGAAGTGTTCTTCATTTTGCTCATCTCTCTTTCTTCTGCGAATTTCGGATGCCGAAGACGATGACGTACTTGAGAAAAAGAGGTTACATGAAGTAAAAACAGAACTAAACAATGTTGTGCTGCATCCCGCGAACATGGCTGTTAACAAGTTGCAACAACTGGTGAAGATACAACAGGCTCTAACAACATTGTTAACGACCATGTTTGTGACGTAAAAAACAATGGTCGGTATCTTAACAATACTAAACATACACTAACACTGATAAAGAGATACTAAAGAGATTTTAAGTGGGTCCGACCTCGTTACTGGGAGACTAGCCGTAACTTCTTAATCAACTGAAACACTGGCGACATTACATGAAGCTATTTTTGCAATATTTTAAATCCATGCACTCTAGTGTAATATTTAGTTATAGTCTAAAAATAGTTTAGGGATTGTTGCTAGGAGTGGCTGGTTAATAAAACATCAGCGCGACGTTCCTAACCTCAATTCTTGCATGTCAAGATCTATTACCTTGCAGAATCACTTGTTTCGTGGTTTGTCCCTTGTTCTGCAACTCCTCGAGTTTCTTGTGGTGACGCAAACAAAAAATATTTGATCCACGATATCAGAGCTAAGAACGGAGCCATGATGTAGAATACCATTGATGTTACGAATGACGAGTTGTCTGAAGCACGAGAACTGCTCGATGTTGTCTGGAATTAATGAAAATAAGTTCTAGCAGTGCGTAACATCACACAAACTCAAATGAGGGCATTTGGTCAGGGCCAGAATGCAGTGAGTGGTAAAAAATGAAGACTGATACATTTGGCACTTATTGAAGGAAACAATAGTATATATACACTATTTTATTGCATTTCACCACTCTCTATTCTGCGATATCATAGTTGAATTAAAACTCTTTGAAAGATTTGAAATTTGAAAGAGAGGAGATCATAATTTTAAACAAATGCACCTCACCGGATCGACTATCAGAGCAGCGCTTGGAGCTAAACCAAGGTCGCTAAGAGTTCTCGTAAAATCGTCTTCGACAAGATGTTTACGAGGAAACGTCGTCCAAAACGTTACTTGATTTGTAAAACTCGTTCGCTAAAAATCATTATGTTAAATAATAAGTTGAATTAAATACAAATACACGGAAGATTTAAGACCACTCCATTATCGGAGCACTCATAATATATGTATTCGAATGTTCGCCGACCGGACGTCGTGCATCTCGTGTGCGTCAACAATAACTAAGTGATGATAAGAGAACTCAACTCATTATCTGCATGTTGTTCATAATGCGCTCCTCAAACTAGAAGCACGACATTTGAGCTTAGTGTTGAAAGCACAGCTCCGGAAACACAAGGAAATAATATGGATTGAATCCTGTCGGAGGGCCCGAGTTACATTTTTGCAACGTTCACAGTTTACGAAGAAGTACGAATCTAAATCATCAATATCAGTAAGTTAAGGAATCCTAAGCAAATTCTAAGCAAACGATAGAAATACAAACCGAACAAATGAATTCTCTCGCCGCCTGAAGAAGGGCATCTGGAGGGAAATTTTGTGTCAATGAACTGCCATCGGGAAGACGAAACTGCAGACGTACTTCGGAACTAAAAACAACGAATTGAGAACGTTGTGAGAAAGTACCTGACAACAACTGAATCACAGGCAGTACTACTTTTACTAAGTGGAGTAGCATAAAAAATACAAGTTTAATTTCTCTGGCATAGAGTTTCTTCTCCTGACCCTGCTTCTCGCCCTTTGTCTACGGTCCAAAATGTACATATATCAAAAACAACTGGCCTCATCAGAAACACAAATCAAAATTTACCATTGCATATTACGTTCATTGTGATCGACTCGTGGGTCAACCCTCGCAGCTACATGACGTCTCTCTTCTTGCTGTACAATCTCTCTGGCGGCTCGTTCTGCTTTATCTTGCGCGATCTTCTGACGGATGGCTTCTTTTGCAGCTTTGTCTTTTGCTTTCTCAGACCTTATTCTTTCAGCCATTTGCTGGGCAAGCGTTTCTTCTCTTTCTGCCTTTGCTTTCAACAAAGCCTGTCCTTCTTTTCGTCTTTCAGCTTCTTTACGACGTCCATCCTGAAAGCCAAACTAATTTGAGAAAAGGCGGCGGTCCAAAAATAAAATTATTTGCGAATTTGAATCAGAATAAGACAGCCTTTGGAGAAGCCAAAAGAAGTAAAAAGAAAGCCAGTTCTCACTAAAACGATACGACATTACAAACGTTTCTAAAAGTGTTTTCTCCAATGATGTTGATCTGTTATTAAAGAGTGACATTCGCCATCTTTTTTAATGTGGCAATATATAGTACTCTCTGACCTCTTTTTCCTTTTCTGCCCTTTCTCTTTTCTTCTCTTCAATTAACTTCTTTGCTCTGAATAACAAAATAAAAAGATTGTTTTTCGTTTAAAATATCAAACCTTGTTTTGAGAATTAGTGGTATGAAATATACGCCAAATTTGTTCAAACGAACGTCCACTCTACCATAGACGAAAGAGGCAATAATGCACACCTGGTAACTCTGTCAGTCAAACTCTGTTCAGAATCATCTTGCACCTAAAAGGGTAGAAAAATGGCTTTGAAAAAATACAGGTATTTTAGTTGACACATAAAAGAGGGTTTGATAGAATTACAACTACAAGTTTGAGTGATAAAAAAAATTATAACTTACTGGCCCGTTACTGGTGCTAGCACCTGGTGATTGTGAAGTTCTTGGCAAAGACATGGACTCTACATTAGGTTGGGCTACCACTTTGGGAAACTTTACACGATGTTTCTGTGTGAACGGGAAATAGGAATATAATAAAATTAGATGGATAATCAAATTGTAAACAGGGAGACACTTGGAGAAGGTCTGCAATAACAATAGCAGCCATGGGCATCAATTGAATGTTAATTGAAGGGGACTAATCCAGACTATATTCATATATTCTGTTATGCTAGGCTGATTTCTGTTAAAAGTGAAATTGTTTTCAAAAGAAATTAGCTAGGCATACTGGCATAGTAGAATATATGAATATGATCCACCTCAATTATAACGTCAACAACATCAATGATAGCAGCACAATGGTAGAATAATTATGGACAATTGAAGTGTGTATGGATAGCAATTTGTAATCATGCAGAGCCAAGTGAAATACCTGAATTGTCTGATTGATTTTGTCCAAAAACTGATCAACAGACAGAGGGACAGCAATAACTTCCAATGGTGTGCCTGTTCCATCAAGAAAGTATGTACATGGAATACAAATCACAGGATCTTGTACAGGCAGGTTAAGGAGCAATATTTCTTTATTAAAGTTATACATCTTAGAAAGTTCATTACAAAAAAAATAATCACTTTGTGCAGTCATATGTGTTATAACAAAATAATAACAAAATCATAAGTAATACAATATTAAATACCTAAACCTCATCTTTAGGTTTATAATAAGTTAATAACCCAGGCAACACATTGTTTTGCCACATAAAGTATGAAATATAAGGATACAAATGGAAGAAAATTGTTTCAGTTCATTGCTAAAAACAAAATTTTTTGATTATATTAAAAAAAGTGTTTCTACAAGTGAATTGAAATATAATGTTTATATTGTGGTCCATAGCATACAGGAGTTTTTAAATAAAAAAGATATAAGAGCGATTTTTTTATTTTCAATTGTTGTCCTCATGAAAGGTGGTGGGTAGCTCCCTTTCCTACCAAAATTTTTACCACTGTCCATTTGGCATGTAAAAGCAATAGCATATCTGTTTAATAACCTTGCCCAAAAATGCACAATAAAAAAATTAAAAATTACCTATCATCAAGTAATTTTATTGCAGTACAATCTGCCATGCAGACCTCATTTATCTAAATAAGAATATAAATATAATAAATGCATAAGTTTATAACCGAAATTATCTTTCTAATAAATGTTAAGATTATATAAACCAGAGAAAGAATACAATAATATCTGCAGGATTGTCTCCCTGTTACACTATACAGATAATCCCAAACCAACCAGTTTTATTGTGGCATCAGTTTAATGGGTTGAAATAAATTTACAAGGACAACATAAATGGGACTACCATATATATATTATATACCTTTGTGTTTTCCCAAACAGCATCCATTTTTCTGGACTGTTCATCATTGCCTTATGTTGTAACATAAAATATATTATAATTCATATTTTTTGCATTTACTATATATTGTTTTCAAATTTTGAAAAATGGTACTGTAAGTCATATTAAGATGTGAAGTAATTATCTTATCTGTACGTGTTAAAACAGAATAAAATTATGAAACAAGCTCTTTATTTAGAATTCTCTCTATTAAGAATTGGATCTTGTTAGCCAGGCTAGCTTAACAAGGTCCATCTGTTAATCCACATCATCAGTTCTAAGAATGAATGGTGCATTCAATGTGTAAGTCTTTGCCGAAGCACCACAACCCCAAAATAAAAGACGTGTTGATGTGATTAGATGATACAAAAAATAGTTGCTTGGCCTACAAGACTATGCTGTTGCTACTGCTAAATACTTATACTGCATTTATGTAATCCTCCGCTCATCCTGCTTACAGTACTCTACTTGACTACTTCACATTGAGGAACTTCAGCGTAGGCCATAGGCTACACTCAAGGAATCCATGCATCTTTGCTAAGAACCATCGATTATTCACATTGTTTAGTACAACTCCACTTTGATTAACCTCTCTTAATCTTACTTTTAAAAGCTTCATTTTCCCAGTCATACAAATTACAAATGACGTCATATTTGTTTCTAACTTTTCATTATATAGATAGTATACCTTTTATATACACAACAAATAGTGATCCAATCCTTCTCGATTCAGCAATGGCTTCTGCCACGGATCCTTCGAACCAAAGCATATTCAATATCTTATAATTGTTTCAATAGACCAGAAGACTCCAGTGTTTGAATAACTCCTTTCCCTTCGATTTTCTAGATCATTTATATTCTTCTAAATTCTTATATTTAAAACAACATGAAGTAACGAATTGTGATCGCACTGATCTCACAATCTGTGATTACCTGTGAAATAGATTATGGTACTGCCAGTTGGGGCTACCAGTGAGCTCTACATATATCTAAACATATGTATCATAGATATATGCAGAGTTCACTGACATGATACAGAATGATTGCTCAGAGGCCGATATATTCGCGTTCTGCATTATTGGTTTCTTCTCAAATTGTTAACACGAATATATGAATATTACCCCCCCCGCCCCACTTTAAGGATCTTCGCGGCGTCTGTTGTTTTTTTCATTTTAACTTGGTTTCAGTAACACGTAAAAATAATGTTTTACGTGTTTTCATAACACGTAAAAGAAATGCAAGAACATTTGAACTTTATATTTGGATGTTTGAAAAGAAAATTCTTCCCATTACCAGTACAATGAACGAAATATGTCGTGACTTTAGGCTGCCATCCACTTTTTAAAGCTTGTTCAATTACACTTCGTGACTGCGACGCAGAGAAAAGTTGCGATGCGCGCGAAAAAATATAGACTATTTCTTGAATATTCAGCGAGATACCACAATCGTCTTTCTGGAATACACAGACTAGAATACACACACTGTGTCTTACAGCCTTCGTAGTTTAACGTGTATTACCAAGTCATAAATGCGTGTGTGGTCATTAGGTTATCGCACATCATCCATTTATTGCATGAAGATCGGCACGGGCCCCGAGACCCAAATGCTCCTCGTTGCCTTCATGATCACTTTAATGACGTATTATTTGCATTACTTTTGAGTAGTTCACATTCATTCCTCAGATTATTCGTACATTCGATAAGAAATCCTACCACTCCACGGTCAATGAACATTTGAGGAACAGAGTTTGGAGGCTGAAAACAAATATATGCAACATAAGAAAAATAAATATATGTTTTAGGATTACCATCACGATTGCTCGTGTTATTTATTTATTACCAAATGGCCTCGTTTTTGTTTTTACTGTAGTGGGAAATTATTGTACATTGTCATTGGCCTTGAGTCTAACATTAGCAAAGAACGAATTTCTTCCAGCAATTATATTTTGTTTCTGATCTGACATATACCCAAGTAACCCAACTGATTAAGCATGGAAACAAGGCCACTGGACAAAGTCGTGTGAATTGGACTATTTTAAATAACCGGTCAGTACTAACCAAGCGACTCACCTTCATTACTGTGGTAACTATCCAAACAAATTCCGACTTATCTGTTTCGTTTTCTGCCGGAAGGAGGGCATAGGAATTAAGAATAGTTTCTCCTCTTGAATTGAGAGAAAAATGCAAGGATAAGAATAATGTAATATATTAAACATATAAGAGATATACACAATTGTTTATACGGCAATAGAATTGATCTTTTTCCCATTTAATGATTTAGAAAGCCAAAAGAAACAAACGATATTTTCATAACAGCGCTGCTGATTGTGATTTTTCTATCTACTGTACTTATTTTGCTTGGGTAGCATATTGTAATATCACAGAAACTTAAACTTCATTTTTCTCGAATTCTTTTTATGCAATTCTTCAATTGGCCAGCCAATCGTCAGTGTCCTCTTTCTACCATAATTGAATGTACGTAATTCTCGGTTGCGCCAATTAGACAACATATTGTAGCTGACTATTTCCGATAATCGTGTGTATGGGTCTATACCAGAATCTATACCATTGAACTGATCTATACTCACCTCACAAAACTTTCTATTGGAGGTTTAATTGATGAAATGACTGATGTAGAGGTTGACATATACATTTCTCCGATCCTCTGGTAATGATTCACCGTTACGTAGTCTCTATATGCAAAATGCGAAATGACTGTAAAGTGAAGTAACATAAAATCAGTTCTTCATTACTGCCAAAAACGATATATAACCACTGTGCTGCCAACGTACACTGACATTTCACTAATTTAGGTGCATACAATTTACCTCGCTGACATTATTCCCCCAGCCATTTCCCCGATGCAAGAGTAGGTAATATCGGTCGTTGAATTCACTTTTTGAATGATCTGAAATAAACAAATACCACTGAGTGTTTAGCTTAAACTTGTTATTAGGACATACCTTGCAAGATCTTTCTCTAGTCTTCTCTAAACATGTATACATACGACCGTTTCAACTTCGTTTGGAAGTTATGTATTATACATACAACCACGTTCACTTTGTTGAATTATTCAATTTTACACGAAAAGGGCTGGAAATCCTGCCTCCCCCCATTTCATACCCTAGCCTATATAGCCTACTTCTCGATCAAATACCTGGTTGCCTACAGTCTGCAGCATTAACATATACTGTGTACCTCAGCATGTGTGATGTTTTTATTCCACTTCTTTATATTTTCCTTATCGCCAAATACCATGGGATGTACAAGCTGATGATTTGCATTGATACACGCCTGAAAGTATTTATAATAACTGATAGTTATCGAAAAAGAAGAGCACCACTGACGTTCATATTCATCTCCGACGGGAAAAAGTAGCTATACAGCTTGGTGTTGCCATTATGTCACTGTAAGCCTATGATATTTTAAATATGCAGTTTAAAAACCCATTGAGATGAATACGAATGGGCCAGTAAAATCGGAACAACACGATTAATAACACTTTACCCTCAATCTGAGAATTTTCCCAAGATTTTCATCCGTTGTACTCTCTACCAAGATGCCATCCTGTGATGGTAAAATTACAGCATTCATGACTGGGTGTTTTTCAGTCAGTACGAAGAAACCGTATATTGTCATTACCTTTTGTTTCTCTATGTCCCAAGATTTCTCTGCGTACAAAAACCCCAATGCTTTGCTGGTTGCTTTTCGTGCAGTTTCAATGAATCCCAAATTCTAGTAAAGAGGGAAACGGAAAATTAAATATACTGCTGATGTTTCTGCGGTGATTCGCTGTCACCATTATCGTAGGAAGCAACACTATAGGGACATGTCACAGTGCTCGGAAGCTTTCGTCCAATTGGATAATGCTTTTCTATACTTTCTAAAGAACGAAGCTATGCTATTGGTTGAAACAGAAATGTATTGTAAAGTTCAGCCAGTGAAAATCATTCTTGCGAGGAGCTGCGACACTACCCACGCTATAACAATATAAAGTATCGTAGGATAAAAACGCTAAAAATAGAAGATTATTTAGGAAATGCTACAGAGAGTGATCGTTTGTTCAGCTAGATTCACTGAATAATAATCTAATTCGAATTTCAAAGGTTTTTCAGACTTTAGATCTGACCAAATAAAGTCGCACACTCGCAGGGCCTGCTCTGTCCCTCTCTAACTCTGAATGACGGTTATATACTGTATGAAAAACAGGAGTTTCCATTTATGTGTTTTTTTTTCGTACGACACTGCGCTGACAAACGTGCTGGTCTACAATGCGTCAAGTCTCTCAGGACTACATTGTGTCAAGCGTTCCTCGAGGCGGAATAAAGAAGTATAGGACGCGATCTCGAACTAGCAACCCACCTCTCTAATAACCTCTTCTTCATCTTCTGAATCTAGCAAAAATTGTAGTCATTATAAATTTTAAATAAAACTGGCACAGTTAGTTTTACGGCTATGATTGAAAGTTTCAACTCTCTAAGACAATTTTAAAGATTCATGCATACTGTAGTAATTAAATTTTACTTTACCTTTAGTCAAAACGTATTTAATTGTTGTTTTAAAAAGTTACGTTTTCCATGCAATTTCTATACTAATACATTTTTAATTTTTTTCCAGTGACTTAAATAGAACTTCAAATGATTGTGATGGGATTGACAAAAACACTGATTTTAGCTAACCTTGTTCCGGTGGTGTATGAAACGAGAGCACAGAATACGCTGAACTCCTTGTAAGAAAAGTATAAGAAATATTTTGGAATAATAACATTACTTCACTATTTTCTTAGCTGCTGCTTCCCTACATGAAAACACAAAACTTACGCCACACGACTTGAATAGGCCCCTACCCTAACTCCTAACATAAGTACATAATAATAATTAAACATTTGGTTAATAGTTTGTGACTTACAATGGCGGTTTGATAGATCCATAACCTGGTTTCTCTACAGCGAAATGAGAGTAAATGGGTAAGGCAAGATCAGAATAACGATCAACTGGTATAACAAGCTATAATATCATCATGGTACATACGTGAAATTATACTCGTTGCTGCTTTTTTCTCTTTGGGGAGAACCTGCAAAATCATCGTGATTTGCATTCAGTTTTGCTCAAAATGAAGACGTTTACTGCAAGACTAGAAACATCCCCCAAGCTCCTCTCCCTTTCCTTGCATGCAGTTGCAGCGTCGGCTTCATACTGTACCTTAACTCGCATATACCAGGCCTCAACCCAAACCAATACAAATGATCCAATTTCAAGAAAATAGTCAACTGGTCTGCTTCCATTATCCTTACTTGAATCATCAAACTGAAAACACATGTTTTGGGATATTGAACTAGCTGCTGAAATACTGGAGATTTTTATTTTTAGATTTTCAGTTTTTTATATATTTCTTTAAAATCTGCAGTGTTATACTATATTAAGAATACTCACGTCAAATACAAACGCTTTCGTTAAAAGATATACAGTCGATACAAATGTGGTTAGCTGAAAAAAAGACGAGAAAATTTGAATGAAAAGGCATTAATGACAACGTAACAGGGATGAATAATGGAAAGCATACTGTATCTATGGTTGGCATTACCCCTCAAGATTTTATGTTTACTCGAAATAGCATGACGCTTATTGTCCGTATGGTAAAGAAATGTTTTTAGCAGTCATATTTATAGTTATAAATATATGGTGTATAAATATACAGTATAGTGTAATTACATTAATTCAAAAATTTATAAACTTTCTAATAAAATTGATCAGAACAGTGTAGTTCCTTGGACATGCCCCCGCTATATATGTATTGTACATACAATACTTACAGCTACCACATGTACTTTTTTGCAGACAAGATAACCATAAATCCACAGTAATAACGTAACACGTACCAAAGAAAGAATCTTTAGAAACAATAAAAAGAATATTAGGAGGAGTACAAAACATGCAGTTTATAACATTGTGTCCACCTTAGCTAGTGGAGATTAATATTTAAGTTTAGAGACTGTTGTGAGTGATTGATTTTGACCAATCGCGTGAGTAGATTTAGGCAAATACACGAAAATTGTATATTAATTCGGTATATTCGACCATTGTCAGGTATACCATAATTCGGTATATTCCGAATTTCAGGTAAGGTCGAATGTACCGGAACATGGTATCTACCGATACCTGCTTAGGTCATACCATTCGACCATGGTCGAGTATACCATATTTCGGTATATTCGACCATGATGGAGTATACCATATTGTATACCATATTTCGGTATATTCGACCATGATCGAGTATACAATATTTCAGTCAGTATTTTCGACCATGGTCGAGTATACCATATTTCGGTATATTTCAGTATACTATATTTATATAAATTAGTATTTTTTATTGGAACGCGTACAATTGAGGGCTACTTGCTCTCAAAAACTTAGTCAGTTTTCAGCAATGTAGATTTTCTTTCTTCATTTTATTTTACAGGATTTTTATGGCCCGAGAACACCCTTTTATAATAATTTGCTTCATGCATGCACTGATGTATGGCCTAAACACACGCCCCACTGACGCTAACCGAACTGAAATGAAACTTACCATAATGTCAAAAAGAGAAGACGTAATTCCATAATGTTTAACCTCTTGAGAAAGAGAATCATTTATACCAGTGACAGCCACACCCTAAGAATATCAACGTATATAGTGTATCTATAAACGTATTATATCTATAAACTGAACGTTTTCTAATAGTTCTATAGATTCTTACATCATCGGCATCTTTTGTATGCCGGAACATAAGCAGTTTCAGCTGAAAGATTTATGCAGCTATCGACTAAATTTTGTTCAAGGAAAGAAGAGCGAAATCAACTCCACGGAGAGCAACTTACAACGAGTAGTTCTGCAATGTGTGGGTTTCGAAATGATCTGAATTTAGCCCCGTTTTCAACTTTTGTGTCGATAGATATTTGTATTACGGCAAAAATGACCAACTTTCGGCTACAATATAGTTGCGTTTTAGCTCTAATTATAAAAATATATGCATGTTGTTGAGTCAATCCAGCTATTAAAACCTAAAAGAGATTTTTTTTGTGATTCAAGACCGTTTACAGGATGTAGGTAGGGAAACTCAGACATCTCCAAAGGTCTCAGGGATTTAGTTGTCGACAACTATTTGTGATCGACAACTAAAAGTCGGCAACTAAACTCTAAATTATTAGTTGTCGACAACTAAGCAGTTTCCCTTTTCGAAAAGAGAAACTGCGTAGTTGTCGACAACTAAGCAGTTTCCCTTTTCGAAAAGATACATTGCGTAGTTGTCGACAACTAATGGTTGTTGACAGCCTCATTTTTTGGCGTTTTTCTAGTGTGTCAAAACTTTTGTTTTAGTTGTAGACTACTTTTAATCTCCGGGTGCTAAATTAGTATTTAAACGCCAGTGTGTGGAACCTTTATCGGACTTATTTAGTTGTCGACAACTTTTAGTTGTCGATCACAAATAGTTATCGACAACTAAATCCCTAGTCTGTGGAGGCCCTTATATGATGATTAATAAGCCGGTTCATACAGACACCGTGATTTGCTTCAGGGTAAAGGTCAAACATTATGCTATTGGGGCCAAATAACAACCAGATTAAAATATTAAATATCTACCACTATTACGTTCTACTACGTTTGTGACGATCCCATGTGCGATTTCTCTGTGTGGACTGGTTGCGTTATTCAACCATTCGCTTCATCTCAACTAATGGGATGAATTTTTTCTTCAATTTTTCTTGGTTCTCTCATATTAAAAGGCCTAAAGCTCGCTTTGTGGATTATTTACAGCTCTTGACAAAGGACTAGTATACGTAACTATAAACAAAACCGTTATAAGAGATGCTGATATTAACCTCACCTGAGCATAGATAACCCACAGAAGAAACGTGAATAGAAAATCGAATATACAAAATAAGCAGAATATTTGTCTTGACGAAGATAAATTATTGTATAGTCTTCTGAACCATGGCGGTTTTGAACTGACTGCCGCTTCTAATGCTTGTGCTGATTCCGCTACAGATAGTTGAGTTGTCGAAGAAGAGCTGGCTTGAAATTCGACAGTTTTTCCTTTCTTAGCCATGTATTAAAAGTTTGGTTTAAGTGGAAGCGCTTTGCATGATTCTGTATAGATTCGTGTTGGTTTGATATGAAACACGACACTGTGTTCCGTTCCGACTCAATGCGTCTTTTGAGTTGTGCTGTTATATGTATGATATAAATTTGCATACAGGAAAGGTCTGGTGGATCTGTGTACAAAACGCAAAAGGCTTTGGACTTTGGAGGTGTCTGTGGACAGCCAAAAAGCTCCAAGGTCCAAATAAAATTCAACTTAAGTCCTCCGGCATGCTCGAATATAAGGTTGTAATCCAGTGCGATTCTTATACCACAAAGCTTCAGAGAACGTTGTTTATCGGATGATTTTCCGACAATGAGCAAATAATTTGTAAAATACCATATGCACCCTGTGAACAGTATTGTTAACAATGTTGTTGAAGCTTGTTGAATCATCAATGTTGTTGCAACTTGTTACAACAACATTGCATCGTGATTGCAACAACGACAACCTTCCATTCCTATCAGTGGGTGTGTTTTTTGTGTGCATTTTTCATCATGCCTTTTTCTCTCTCAGCAACTGTTTCTTGCAATCAGTGGGAACGCAACTTATTGACAGCACTCACTGACTGAACGGAGTGAACGCGGTTTTATAAGTGCTGGTTCTGCTTGATACCTGGGTCCGGTTGTTCAAAAGCCGGTTAACGCTAACCCTGGGTTAAATTTAACCCGCTTTTGAACAACCGGCCCCTGGACATTATTACTGCATTATTACGATCCTACGCCTAACCCTTACCGAACAGTTAACCCAATCAGAACATGGACTATTACCTGATTACCATGAAATTTTAAATTTGGAATTATTATCTTGTGAGTTCAATGCACTGAGGTTCAATGTGTGGAGATCCACGAGATCTATTATCACCTGCCATCCGCGTTCTAGGCACTGGGGCGAGCGAAATATTTTGTTTTGGTAATTTGGTTTGAATTCTGGCGCAATTTCCTTCTTCTATTATTTCAAAATATTTTACACACTACACATTTTCCGAATTTTGGTGCCTATGGAGGATATTGAAAAGTAAGTACAGCATTTTACATTTTCTTTCAACACATCGACTGGCCTTCGACACAGTACTTTATACTCAGTCCAGCTCACTGCCGATCGACACCAAAAATAATAATATCACTCTCTAGCAGAAACTGCAGAATAGCTCACAACTTACGCACTTACTTTTAGCAACTTACACATAAAAGATGTTAAAGTGGATTGCATAGAAGGTGTCCTACAGGACGCTGATGTCAATACGACAGCTGGTGGTGATATTATTGAGGAGCAACATAAATACATAGACAAAATTTGGCAAGTCAAGGTAAATACAAAATGAAATCGCCCTAATGTAATGGAAAACTAATTTCACCATTGATTTAAAACATTGATACAAATAAAATCGACATACAGCCTGGAAACTTCAATTCGGCTGTTACAGCCACCAGCTTCGAACCTGGGTCTTTATGATGCAATATTATTATTTATACCTACCTTACCAATCAATGTTTAGTCTCATATTGGAACTCTGAAATATGCTTGGGCATTGTCTGAGGCAGCAGTGTGGTTTGCGAATGGTTTGGATCAAGAAAGACTTAATGTTGATGCTGAGGAAAACTGGCTCACTTGTGATGATCAACAGAAAGAGAAGGGTATTCATATACTTACTGCTCTAGTAGCAATTATTAAACAAACCTCACTGATTCTATCTAAAAGAAAAGAACTAGTTGATTGAATATTATAAACTTTTCATGCACAATCATTTCACATTTCACAAACATGGCTCTATTCTTTAAGAACTGATGAACAAAGAAAGAAAAGAGTCTGAAAAAGTTAAGAATGATATAGAAGATATTCAAGAAGTGTTAGAAAAACACGCTGAGGATATTCAAACAGGTAAGTCTATCAAGAAGCCAAGCTGCCAAAAGTTCTTGACTTTTATTTTTGAATCTGGTAGTTTTTCATTTGTAGCTGATGAAGAGATTAAAGAACAGAAGCTGCTGATTCAAAAAAAGCTATCAATTGTAAAGGAGAAGGTGACTGAGACTATGTTTATTATTTATTATTCTGCATATTAAATTCAGTGTGGTACTGTAGACCTAATTTTAATTTAGATGGAAAAGCTAAAAATGTTGCAAGAGAGGAAACAATTGTTGGACTCGAAAAAAAAGGAGCATCCTTCTGTAAGGAGTAATTGTGACATTTTACGTTCTGGATGAGATTATAGGCAACTCTAGTTTTATAAAATAGTTATAATCCAGCTTTGTGCTTTTATTAACGTATAGGCATTTGGTGCAGGCAATTACAGCCTAGAGCATCAAACAGAAAAATTGGCAAGTACAAGCAACAATATACAATTACTATATCAACTGTATATATAAATATATATTTAACCTACACGTTCAGTGCACAGTCATTCTCAGGTAGTTTACTTGGTTTTCTTTCTTTTACAGAAGCAAACATCCGAGGCGCTTAAACAATGCACAGCTGCTGTGGATATTTTGAGTCAACGCACGTCTTTACTGGAAGCAGAACGTGACACTTGCAAGGCAACCTTGGTTAAAATGGAAGAGAAGTTATCTACATTAAAGGCTGAACAGAAAGTTAGATCATCGGAGTCTTCGGAACAAAAACGGTAATGATTGTTGCATTGATAAGAAACGATCGATCACCAAATATATGAAGTTTTAATTATCCAACGTTTTGTCAGATAAAGTCACTTATGTTACTTTCCGATGGTATATATTACCCCCTCCCATATATCCGAGACCGAATGACAACTTGCATTTTCAAAGAGCTTTTGGTGCGTTGTAGGATGGAGTCGTACTATAAAGATCTGATCTCGTGCGGAGTACGAGTTACAACCCTTTCAGAAAAATGGTTGGAAATAGAGATTTCAGATATATACGAATGCAGTGACGATATAGCGACCCTCACACTAGTTATTCATTTTGGTGAGGACAAGCATGGTTCCCTTGTCTTCGAAGATGTGACGGTACTGACTGGCTGTAGTTGATCAGTCACAATTTTCTCTTGCGCCCTGGCGAGATTCCATTAGTTGGAGTTAACCATTACGTAGATATTACAACAATTTATAGCCTGTGTTTCAGCTTGTTAACTGCAGCCGCAGGTTGACCAAAGTTACCCCGTTCGTAGAAACGACAGATATGCATTCAGCGATGGTTTTCATTTTCTCAAGCAGAAAATTTCGTAGAATTCAAGTTTAAAAAAACTTGCTTCGCTTGAAAACGCGAAGATGCAGCAATTGTAGTTGTAAAAAGTAAAACATGAAAGTCAAGGTTCATTATTTCGACCGTATTTTCAGAGTCGTTGCAAAATCTGACATTAACATTGATGTTTGTACATAGGCCTAATACTGAATTAATTAAAAAATATGCATTCATTTCCAGGCAAACTGTTCCACGTTCTTCATCAAAGATCTGATTGATTATTTGAAGTCAACTAGCGAGCTCAAAGTTTTTAATTTTGAAGTTCAAAGGCGATTTCATAATCGAATGATGTTATTGAGAGAAATGGAAGTGTTGCAGAAAAGGTATTTTATTCAATGTATTGCGGCGCTGCAGTGACGTCTGGTTAAACGTTGCTGCCAGAGTTGGGCCGGGATAGAGACGAAGTCTTCAACTAATTTTTAAATCATCTATGATTCAATTTCGGGTAGGTTTGCGATTGATTGGAAGGAAGAGGAACAAGTAGTGCGACTTATGCTTGGAAAAGCTGGCCAAATTGTTTGTTCATTGAAAATGGAGAAAGATTATCCTTCTGAGGGAAGCGTCAGTGTGGTAGAAATTCATGGAGCGGACCCAGCTATTATATTTCAAGATAGTTTGGTGTGTATCTTCTTGTCACACATTTCGTAAAACACGATAGGGCGAAATTTTGCACTGAACGAAAAATCACCCGTGTCCCGCAAATGAAGCTCTTTATTTTATAAATTCCCAGGGTTAATATTTGATCCTGAATGTAGGTTCGCCCGGATGCTCTAAATTTTTCATTTCCAAAGACCATAAATACATGCGCTTTGAAAACTTCATATTTCTCATCACACAGAATTGAATAGACCTTTTTCATAATGACGGTCAAACGCGAAATTTGATTGGCTCCACAAAACTATCGAGCCAATCAAACTTCGTGTAACATCAGACTTTGACGTCATTATAAGAAAAGTCTATTGTAATTAATAAAGTGAATTAATTAAATTGAATTAAATTTCTAGGTCACTGGGGAGTTGAAAACGCTCACTAGTTGGATAGAATACTTGGATATAAAGTATATCTCATTGTAAACCTTGCTGTGCCTGTAGTTATATTGCAAGATCGCGACCAAATATACAACGAACTTGCTCTTTCAGAGTAGAACAATTTTTTCCTAATAATTATGCATGGCCGTTAAATGTATAGTATTGGAACTTCAAGAACAAGCCGATTTCCTCATATGCAAGCAACGGTGGAGGGATTCACATAATACAAGAGTTGAATGGATTCACTCAAAATTATTATAATAATATAGTCTATATAACAATAGAGCCTATCATGTATTTGTAACGTATTATCATCCACGCATTTTTTTCACTATTTATACAGTATTTTTAATTTGTCGCAGTATTTGATCTGCAGAACAGAAAAATAGAATCTATCACCGATGATATACAATATATTACAATGTTTCTGTTAAAACTTATATTAATAGTTCAATGGTCATATCCGTACAGTACGTGTTGAAACGCCCCTGTTATTTTGTCAACTTCGATACAGGTTCATGCGTCCGAACATGCTTCTTTGCAAAACGTATGTGACAATACCATGCATAGAATTAATCGACATTATTTCTATATGGACAATACGCAGAGAGACTCTAATGCAAACCAACACTGCACTTTAAATATCGACAAAATACACGAAAAACAAAGTTTAAACCCGCTTTGTTTTTCGATTTCAAGAAACCTTAAAGGACATTAGCAAAAAACAATTGTCTTATTGTGAGAACAGATGAAGCTATATAACTAGGTTTTTTATAATTTTATAACTCTCAATTTGTCCTTGAAACAATTTGAGTTTAAAATGCCACGAATATCGCTAAAAGTAGAATATTTTTACCAACAGAAATCGACAACCCAAATTTGTAAAAGAATTTGCCAATATACTCTATATATATGTTCCTGCAAAATAACGAATAATGGTTTTTATTGCCAATGTCCTTCAAATCCGTTTCTATTATATATCGTAATGCCTAATGGTTGGAAACAAAGAAGTGTCGACAGATATTTTATATTCTCGACTAGGAAATTCTTTATTCCCAAGCTTTGCAACCTGGAACCGATGCCAGAAACCCGTTCAGCTTAATCGGTAGATAATCAGCTTAATCGGTGGATAGACTCAAAGAGAGAACTACACTAATGGTTGATTGAGCAACTAAACTTGATTGAAACAATACCAATGCAATGACATATCTAGTGCACAAGACTTAAGCCATACGAGGGTCACATGGTTATCCGCCGTTTATGCTAAACCGGTTTTCGGACAGCGGGCCTTGTCTGTACATATAATTTAACCAATTTGGCAGCACAAATTCTATAAGAATATTTCACATTTTTATCTAAAATGTTCAGCAACTTGCTCTTTCATTTTAACGGCCAATGGCCAGGACAGAGTACTACTTACGATGTAGCCAAGAAAATATGGCGACAAAATAGGGAATATACAGTGGGCTGCTCACTGAAATCCCCTCCCCCCCGCAACTTTATGCAATCGAATAGCTAGATTAAACAAGTAATGTCGAACAAGGTAGTTCAACGTGTTTAATGGCTGGAAGTGTTAATTAGACTAATGGCCGACAACTATTCGCATTGCAAATGGGGACAAAAACATCAGTGGATCCCACTGTATATTCCTCTTACTAAAGAGTTTTGGCCAACGGTCGCTGTAAAAATCTAGTTAAATAAACAGGCAAGCTGTTCAGTTCTTCATAACGGCAACAGTGGCCTCCGGTGTACCAATGCAATCATTTACCACAGTGGTTACCTCGTCCAGGACAATGTTATTGTTAGTAGCGTACAAATGAATAACAGAGGTAAACTTGAATGCGACGAACACACAGCTTCTCCTTTGACCTCGACTTGCGAAAGTTTTGGAGTGCTCAATGAAACTGCACGAAATGACGACAAAATCTCGTCGGATGTAAATATCGCACTTTGCGTATTTATCAAAGTTTCAATTTTTTGAGCTTCTTTAATACAGATAAGGAACTAAGACAAACAGAATGGAAAATTATTACGGTTGAAATCGAGCGCATTGATGACATACAGTATCTTTAGACAATAGCCTGATAAGATGAAAGTTCATCTGAGGTGTTACCAAAGAAACCGTTAACTAATGAAAATGATTTATAATTATATAGCTTGAATTACATACTACGACGCTCTTCAGGTTAGTGCGAGATGATAGAAATTCGAATAATACATTTACTTCGGCGTAGCAAACACCGATCGATATTTGTCTGAAAATGCGTTTGCTGTTTACAGTCTAGTCGCCAGACCATTACTGCCAGATGATCAGATGAATCAGATCAGTATGTAGCCTGCTCGCAGACTGAATTAGGGGGCCAGAAAATTTAATTTCCGGCCTGCCTGCGAGCAGGCTAATCAGTATGCCACTAATAACCAATCTTTTATAAGGAAGAACCTAATAAGGCAGGCGATTTACCACCAGAATTTCGTTTATCTAGCCACACTGGCATCTCAAGTTTTGGACCGGCGGATAACAAACGGCTTTTAAACTAGATATTGAAACTTCGTTACAATAGAATTATTCAAAAGCTTATTTATATGATATTCCATACGCATTAGATACTAACCTGAAGCGTGGTTGGTTTTTCAGTTATCGCCCTCACGAGAAGAATGAAGTCATTTTCTGTATTGTAGAAACCAAAAACATCACATTGGCTCTAAAAGGAGAGGAGATATTTCTTTCAACTTCGCCGTCCCATTTTGGGAAAATTTTGATAGATAATATATACTTTTTGCATATGTAGCTACGGCTCTGATCTCGTATGGCTGAATACTGTAACACTAGGTACTGGTACTGTGTAAAGGCAAACACCCGTAGATCTTACCATTGATATATGTCTTCGCACCCTAGCCACAACTTGCTCTTGCGTGATTGCTTGATTATCCATAACAATTTTATTCGTATTAGAAACTTCCGTTTCATCAAAAAGAACCGTCAATTGCGTGGCTAAAATGAAGAAAACATGCAAAGTTCACTTTAAATTATCTTACTGAAAACTGAGAAGATCTAAGTCATTACTAATTATTCAATGTTCCATATACTTCGGGCTAAATAAATTTGCAACCTTTTGCTTAATTTTTATGACAGGTTGCTATCTAATATTCTCGTACGTTTGCATGGTGACGTCAAATAAGTAAATTAGCATGCAAGCTAATTCACTAAGGTTGCTATCTGTTTATTGGTTTTCTTAATTACCATACATCACGTCACTTACCACAGACTTCACAGCAAGCACCTGGCGGCGTAACACCATCACAATTTGGTGGATTTAACTGAGGGCATGTTATATAAGCACATCTAACTGTTGGATCTTCATCTGAAAAATACATTAAAATGTGATCCACTTAATTCCACAAACGTCATTTCAGGTGTAACACAATTTTAAGGGGCCGAATAATATCGGTTAGTTTTGACTTCCACTGCTATCAACGTTGCCTTTCACTGACCTACTACGCTTGTGATTGGTTAATTTGTTAGAGTTATCAAATTTGATTGGCTCTGGTTCCCCTCATTGGTAGCGCCTTATGGTTATCCGACAGCGATGTCAAAAAGATTAATGAACCCCACCCATGATTATACTCTATATAAAATGGTTGCTAACTGTTTAAAGTGGCTAAGAGATTAATTAAAGGGTAATCATTTAGCGAGCCATAACATACTTCCGTATTTTCCAACAGTCTTACAAGGGCCTTCATAATCCAGCAACATATGGGCATAATTTAACGCACACATACTGCCATACGTTTGACCATCTACACCACAGACTACTTTTTTACCAGGTCCACAAGAAGGCTATAATGGAAAACATTCAAAATTTGCACGTGCACAGATCCATCTTACATTTTAGACCATGCATGATGTATTTGCCTCCATTGAACAGAATCTGGTATGTTCACAATTTAGTTCACATATAGTCGGAATCAAAAGATAGGATCCAGTTCGTTGAGGGTGGGAGGGGTTGTTAAGCGGGCATTACGACTAGGGCTGCAGTGTCGATGAGATAAATGATGAGAAAATCTTACCCTTTGGGGGGCGGGGAAAGGGGCAATTATCAATAGGGTGAAATAATGAAAAAATAAAAGGTCGGCTGGCAACAAGACTATGACGTGTCTTGGATCTTGTTTCCCATACGACCGAACTCAAATAATTGCAAAGCGAATCTTTATCACCATGAGATGGAGACTCGTCATACAAAATACTACGCATAGTGGTTCACATACTGTACCTTGCATTTACCACTATAAGCAACTTCTTTTTCATTCTTTTGCACCTCACATTGACTCAAATGCTGTTTGTTCTTAGTATCACAAAGAAGTTGACTTGAAGAATTCGTGCAATTCATGGGACTTTCCACTGCGAAAAATGAATACAGGGTATAAGCTTGTTCTTCTTAAGATCACGAAGAAAGGAGAGTTGTACAGTACATTTAAACTAGTGTGCAATCCTTACCGCATGAAAACTGCGGGCAACTGGAAATGCTGCCAACACAAACTTTTCTGTCAACAACACATCTGTGGTAAGAAAGCAGATTTTAGTATAATGTACTGTTGGCGCTGTTTTATGCCTGGCAAATGAATTGAACTTACAGTTTATTTTCAGGACAAGGAGATGAGTGACATGGATTTATCGACGAGCATTGTCCTTTTACAACTTGTTTTATGCTGAGGCCTGCACACCTAGAGGAGGAAATATGATAAAAATTATAAGGGACGGTAACGACAATATTCAGCCCTTGAAGAGGTGACTACTGTTTGAACATCATCGGTTCTGCAGTAATAAACTACGACGAGGAAGGAACACAAGCATTAAAATTTGCACAAATGCACACATTAGTATTATATTAGTGATCTTACCGGGCGAAGCAAACGCTGCGGTAGGTTTTCCCATTCGCGCCACAGACTGGTTCATACTTGCCAACACATTGGCAGGAAAGATCTGTAGTAAAGATTAATTCTTAGTTATTTGTTCATTTTCCAGGAGATAATTGGATAGATGGGATACGTACCACCGATATATTTATCATGGTTAGGCACGTGGTTTCTACGTAATCGTTCTGCAAAGAAAATTCTTGACTTAGAGAAAAGCAAATGTAAACCAGACTAATACGTAAACAATCACTGCTTCCCTATTAGAAGTGTAAAATGTACATAAATGATCAAACCTGTTGCATTAGCAGCCCCTGGCAGACACTTGGTCCTGGAACAGAGGACTTTACCATCAAAGCAAACGCAAAAATTGCAATTTATCAAGAACTTTTCTTGATGTTCATATGTTTCTGTAAAAACAAAACATGGGTTACATCATCTCCGCATTGCATTTGTACCTGCAATAGGGCTTCATATATAAGACATTGTATTGCCGCAGTCGTAAAAGGTCGTGAAAATATAAAGGAGCTCAACTGTCAAACAGTTTTAAATCCATTAAGCCCGTTTACACTAGCAATCTTGCTGCGACTTTCGTCTATTCACAGATGAAAACGAGCGAACACATGTAACTTATCAACTTGTTCACACCAATAAAAATCTTAGCTACGATGACGGGCTATCCGGGGAAACACAGGATGTACACAGGAGAGAATTTCGACGTGAAACTTCATTTCGAACAATAGATAGGTGAAAATAAACAGGTGTTATCCTATGTCCATGCTACACTGAGTTCCTAACTGTCCGAAATACTGAATAACTTACTGTTGGTTGCTTTATAATAGCAAGAGTTTCTTTTGACACAACTTGGTAATCTTGGACAAACGGATAATTTACCATTTTCACAACGACAAATTTTGAAGCATCCTTCCAATTTGGAGTTTTGTACAATGGGTAACTATAGTGGAATGGAAGGATAAATAATTATCCACATAGATACACGTGAAGACGAACAATGCTATCGTACAATTTACATGTATGCATATATGTACTGTGCATATTGCACATGGAAAAACTATAATAACTTTTACAGCACATACCCGAGCAAAATGTCCATTTTTTATAACAGTTTTAGACTGATGATCTATAGGACAACCTGGTTTGAAAGAAAATAATTTTTATTTTATCTTGATTTGTTTAAGTATTATTGATTTTCAACATTTCTCTGCAATTTATGTCGATGGTTTTATCAGCTATGAAACACTCTCTTTCCCTCGTGTTTTATGTTGTAAAACACTTCTGCCCGTGTTTTAAATAGTAGATATACGTACTGTGTTTTTACTTAATGGATGGACAGTGCAGTGTTTTTAATGTATGGTATAGTTTTCTAGCCTTAAGCCCGTTTGACACGTGCAACTTTTCATGTGCCGAATCTGATGTGAATAAGTTAAAGTCTTTGTTAAAGTTTTTTTTCTGCATTCGATTCGGCACAGGAAAATTTCGACCTCTGAAACGCACCTTAGTAACTGCTGAAGAACGATGACGAATAAAAAAGACAAAGTAAGAGTTTTTGTTACCTGGTGTACATTTATAGGAAACAAAATCTTTTGCGGCATTCTCGGGAGATGCTCGATTGACGTCACAAACATCGTTGCTGGGACATGGGTTAGGATAACACGGGTGCGTCACTGAAATTATTAAAAGAAAGGTTTTCAAGAAAATTCCTTAGTGCCTTCAACAAAATGAACACGTTGACAAAATACATCTTAAAGTTTTAAAAAATGAACAATATCTGAAAAATTTAAACATACCTTCAGTTGTTTCATTCTGATAAGAACTGGGCTCTAGGTAAAAAAAATACCAGGGAAATGAGGTAGTGATAGGTACAGTACAATTAATCATTATGTTATTTACAGTGATACAGCGGGCAATGCATCATTTAAAAATCTTACGGAAAATAACGGGTACAACTGAGAGAAAACGTTAATTCTATGAGATAATGATTGATATATCTCTGTCAGTGCAAAATTAGCTGTCATCAATGCTGTGTTCTCTATACGTTCAGTAAATGAACCTTACTCAGGTAACTCTCCATGGAAATACATGATGATTGATCATCAGGTGATAACCCATCACAGATCTTTTCCACGGTTTTCACACCAAGTTTTTCTTTTTCTGCACATTCACCCAGAAGTTTCAAGCAATCTTTCCTGTTTAATTAATAAGCAGTTGGTTTGTTTAATTCAATTAATTGATAAGCAGTATGACATCACTTTGAACATTAACCCAGGATAAGGTATAACCTCCTTTTGAACATCTCGTTCTTGAATGGAAATAACTCTCACCTGCATATTGTGGAACCATGAGATTTAGCATGGCAAGGTCGAATTTGTAGTGTACATGCTACAGCCTTAAGAAGAAAAGAAAGCATCTTGTTATCAACAGATCAATAAGGAAAATTGAAAAGCTAAACTTTTTATTCTCTTACTTTCCACATTTCTGGCAAACATGTTGCAATATCTTTAACAGGGACAACATCCAATGAATGAATTTCAACTCTCTTCTTTTTCAACCAATTTTCATAGTCTGATTTAGCTGCATTGTCTTTTTCCTTAGTGCAGCTGCGGAATAATTCTGTATGCCTTGGGATAAAAAATAAATAACACTTAACTAGGGTTGGCTTGGTTATTCATTTGATACCATACTAATGTAACATTTGCCCTCTTAGCAGTATGAACAAATTGGTTACTGGATTACCTGAGAGGGACGAACCAAACTACACAAGCTAATTTACCTGTGATTGAAGTGTTTACAAAAACCAAGACCACTGCAACCAATGTGGCATGGTTGGGAAACTAAAATAAAAAATACATTTAGTGAATCATGCTGTCATTTTAAAGAACAATTTACTGTGCTGTGTGTAAATGATCAATACCATTTTTAAGCTATGACTTACCATCAGCAATGCAAGTAAACATTGTGGACTAAAAATAAAACCAGTAGTTACTTAAATGACAGCATTGTACATTGTACCAAACAGTATACTGTAGATGTACTGTGTATCTACATGTAGAAATATGTAATATGTTTTCAATTACAATACAGGAAGTAATTTTGAGAACAAAACACACCTCTTGTGGGTTAAATTCACAACGTTTTTTGAAGAGATCACCAGTTTCACTATCTTCTGCATAGGTCCTCAAACACAACTTAAAACATTCCTCTGTCTGTGCACTCAAGCAGCAATGGAGCCTCACATCCACTCTTACATCTACAATCATCAATACAGAGTTATATAGGTATATAAAAGTGAAATATTTCATAGATATATTGTATCAGCTCACATAATCCCACTTTGGACTAAAAAATGTTAAAAATATTCTTTAAAGAATGCTTTCTTTAAAATACTTTAAAAAAATTTAAATCACATGGTGCACACCTCTTTGAGATCCACCACCAGTATTCTTCATAGACTCTACAAATATAAATTTGTCATTAGGAAATTACCAGTTCAAATGATGTACTCACATTAAGATGAATTGCTAATACTGCAAATGTTACTCACTAGCATGATTTAGAAAACAAGTGAACATAGCTAAGTACTGCAAAAGAAAAGGAAAATTATAGACTTAGTGACTAAAGGTGGGGTACTCTCTCTGTGATGTAAACAATTTCTTTTAAATTTTGAGCTGCCTTATTTCATAAGATATTATGCACTATCAGAATAATCAACACCACTTTAATGCAATATGAAAAGGGCTTATATGCAGAAAAATAGGAAACATGCAACCTATTGTTATGAGCAGAACCAATGAGCAGCATGGCTTTGACAATTATACCACCGAGCTTGAGTCGTATATGAGGTAGGACGAGGTGCATAGCGCTGAGTCGGCTATCAGCCATATAAGGCGAAAGCGAGTTGTTTTGTAATATAGACAAATACCATTTGTTGAGCGACAAACATATTCAAGCATTCTGTCAATTTCTTATTTATTTACCTCAGCAAACTGGTCAGCCATTTTGGTTTTCTTTGGTTTTGCTACCCACCGTTTACGAGCTGTCATACGTTGGGTAGTTCGACCAATCAGATGCGGAATAATTCATATACAGTGAGTAGCTATATTATAATTACACACAAAGTTCAACTCACATTAGTTGAATCCTTAGAGCATGTTTCTCTCAGCTTCGATGTTTTTTCTTCCCATGTGTTTGTGGCCATAACCTAAGCAACCAAGACACTACATTGTTTCTCATTCACCATGCTTAAACATTGAAGTTATAGTTATTACTATTTATTTTTATGAAGAAAACCTTTCCGTAAAAAACCATAAAAAAACTCTCAAACCAACCTCTCTGCAAACAGCTCGACATTTCTTATTTTCAGTGATTCTACAACACTTATGGTCTAAGAAGTAGAAACAAAATCATTAAGAACTGCTTTAACATATGATTACTGTGGAGATTCCATGACTCTTAGGCTGAATCAATTGTATAAAATTAATTGATTAACATATTCAGAGCATCATCACTAAGGCAAATTCAAATTTACCTCTCTCTTTAGGTAATTTGACTCTGCTGACACATTGGTAAACATTTTTGTTTTCTCTTTTGCAATTCCTTTTCACATTTCTAAGCTTTTTCTTACTGGGCTCTTTATTTGATGCAAAAACCTATTAAAACATAAGCAGCCTGGTAAATAGGCAGTGATGTTATGCAGGAAATGACACTCATTTCATACCCTGACACTAATAGGCTTACAAAATGAAATTAATTTGAAAAAGAAATATTTGAACTAATTCACATGCAAGGGATGATGTTGCCAGCATAAAATGCATAGCAACATAGCTAATACATGTTGTTCTCAGTTTTTCTGTACTATGTTACATGGAAATTCTCATCAAACTATAAACATCTAATATACAACCATTCACCAATTCAATTTTCTAAAAATATGTAAAATTACAATTTTTATAAACCACCACTTACAATTTGACATGCTCTTTCACATCTTCTGTATCTTGTCTGGCAGCATTTACTACTTGCTAAAGAAAAAACCCCCAAAAATATAGAATCTTTACAGAAAATCACATTCATGCATGCTCATAACACGAAGGTCATTGTGGGGTTATCCGTTCTAGCAGGGACAAGGTGTTTATATGGTAATTTTTTTATCCTGCCTGAGTTAGATCTCGGATCGATAAAAAATACCTCATATCTACCACAAAATGCAATTAATTTAATTGTGACCATATTAAGTTAATTAACAGTGACCATATTAATTTGATTATATTCATCAAAGCAATCCTAGGCACAGAGTTTTAATATTAAAGACGTTTCAGAATTTATTCAATTTAATAAAAATGAACATCCCATACCATGCCACCCTTTTTTGTCCATCTTAATATGTTGAATGAATGTCATTGAAATTATTTAAATTGGTTGCATAGCTAGGAAGATTATTTCACATAGTAGTGCTTATTTAATGTATATAACCCATATAGAGTACTTGTATTGCACAGGAACAAATCATTGGTGTTCAAACAGACTATAACATTTAACACCCAATCTTATCCCAGTGGCCAAAACAAATTTCTGGTTATATGCACTGCAAATATTTGTACCAAACAATCAGGCCAGCTTATAAATATCAAATTTGTTTTTGAGCAAACCATATTTGTTCACAACACCCATATCTACCATAATAGTATTTGTTAAAACATTTTATGAAATTTAATCCATTAAAATAAATTGATAAATACCATCACTTCTTTCAATACAACGTAGCAATGAATCCTGTTGATAAGAAATAAAAAACTTGTGATAAAAATATACATGGTGGGGATAACAAGTCTGTTAAAATTTTACAGAAAAGGTAGGTTATTGTAAATTACAATTTTAACCAGAGGTGAATGATCTATCATGTCATATTGTACATTAACATATACCTCACTCTCAGCTTTGCATGATTTCTTAAGTTCTTCCCTGCTTGCACTTAGGAAACAGGCTTTTCTGCAAGATGATTCAATTCCAAGTAGGCAGCAACTTTTACCTTCTCCTTTCAGTAAGTTTGAATGAGAATAGAGGTGAAGGCCTAAACATGACAGGGATTATGATCAGGATGGCAAATATTTAGGTTGGGTTTGCGCTATGGCTTTCCCACAACGAAGAATTGATCAAGTCTTTGGATAATTTGTGACATGCTAACAGTGTATTAAGGGATTCTTGCATTCCTAATTGTCTGGAAAGACCAGCTTCGAGTGAGTAGGCGAATGTATTTCACAGTTTATATAATCATTAAAATTATTATTAAGAAATGCCCATTTTTCCCAAGAGATACAAGTGTTTTGCAATGCAATAGTAAAAAATGTATGGGAAATATCAAAACCCTGTGTTTGTTGATAGAAAACATTTATTCATGTGTGTATGTGGAATGATAGTAACACTTCACCAAAATACAATACGCATTACAGTAAAAATGTTTTTGTTGCTAGTAGGCCATGGCACATTCTATGCAGTTAAAAATTATGCTATATTTTATGCAAAAGTTGGCATATGCTCATACTCAATATTATTTTAATATATAAGTCTTTTCCCAAAGTGCAATACTATGCTGTATCTAATTAATTTCATAGCCAGCTATGTTTAAAATTAAAAATACTATTTTAAAACATGCCTACTGATAAATACAATGTTTTGAAGCAGAGCCAATAGGACTTGCAAAATTGTAAGAAACTGGTAGCAATTTTGGTCAAGGAACACAAGAAATACTTTAAATTCTGTTTGGAAACTATTTGTGACTAATTTTCATACACAGGAAGGCTGAAGTGTCCTACAGGAAGGCTGAAAATATAGAATTTTAATGAACAGCAAAAATGAGGCTCTATTGTAAAGGCAACAGAAAGGTGTATTGAAAATAGTTACTTTGTTGTAACTAAATTTGCTATTTTCTTGGTTCTTCAAGACAGATGACTATAAGTTTAACATTCTATTAGGTGTTAAATGAGGTAATGAGTATAAAAATACTTTTTCTTTCCTGCCAGATCTTACCTAAGGGTTGCAATTGATGACATTTTATTTTATTATTAGTCACTAAAATATTACAAAACATCAATAAAGGTGTGGAGGAACATTATGCCAGCCTTCTCAAGGCACATTAAAAGCACTCATCAGCATATATTTAAGAGATTTTTCCTTTCAAAAAAAGATTAAGTAGGTGTAAATAGGAAATGACATATAGGATGCTTTTTAAAATAAATCTTCAAAAATGCACACCTTCTTAATCTTCTTAAAATATTTACTGCATTTTGCCTGTTTACGAGTTGTTGTATTCACGCAATGTTAAAACAGAAGTACTAAGTTTATTACAACGCAATATCATCGCAGTACTTAGCAGTCAGCTGGGAACAGCGCCGAAATATATTGAAAACAACAATTTCAAACAATGCATTATCGTTCATATTCAAATTCAGAGCACAGAGCATCACAGCACGATACGTTTTGATCCGAGTTAAGACATTGTCTGATCATGGGTCTGATCTGCTATAAATCCTTACTTCAATTAGTCTCACAACAATATGAGCAATTCTTTCAAACAATTTCAAACAGACAATGTGTTGTGTATATCAATCGAATTTGATTACCTTTTCAATAAAAGTGGGCTGTGTTGTGGTAATAGCTCAATTTAAAAGCTGTATGCAAATTTACTGAAGACAAGATCTTATCGTTGTTATTCAAATCAGTGTTGCGATCGCTTGAGTGCGGCCGTCTATCTAACGGTACTCAAACACTCGGATATTGAGTTCTAATGTTGAAGTATAAAAAATAAATACTGGTTTAGTATATGTTACAATTCCCTAAAACCGCTGCGTTTAAAAATTAATGTATAAAACCGCAACGAGTAAATACAAATGCTGAAGGGGCCAGCTTTTCATAGCAAGAAAAACAGTATGTTGTGGTCCCCGTCAGTGAAGGCTATCAGTGTCAGTGAAATAGAACAAACATTTATAGCCATGCACAGAAAATATCACAATCGATCACAATATGCGATATAAATAACAAAGTTGTGTTTGTATGAACTAACCCCAAAAGTTTTAAAATTGTACGCTACATATAAACTTTGCCACAAGCTGGCAACTTTAGTATAACTTGGTGAAGAATTTCACAAATGTACAAAAATATTACTATATAAAGCCATATCTGACAGTCAGCTACGCTAGCGTCTGTAGTGTATCAAAGCAAAATCACATGCAACAAAGTAACACCTTGAAGATTTCAAATCGCACACACTCAGACATCAAAAACAAAGCGAATAGACCGCCGGGTTTATGTTTCACATGCTTTAGTGCTAGAAGCGTATGCAACGGAAAGACAACGCTCTAACGTACAAGGGTAAAAAAAAATCGAGGAACGTAGCGCATATACAATGTTGCAAATGTATAAACAAATGTAAATTTGAGAATGTTCGGGAAATTAACACCTCCGTTGATGGCACAGTCAAGATGTTTGGCCCAAGAGAAATAATGTTCAAGACAATTAAATCTCCATTACTGTTCACCCTTGTGTTTAACCCGCACAACGTATGATGATCGAATAAACGTTGATCACTTTTCCATAACACGCATTTGAAAGATTTCTCCTTTTACGTTTGAACACTTAGCGAATACTTGTGAAAATAATCAATCAAAATAACTAACAAAGTCACGCAAACCCTGTCTCTGAAAGAGTATTGATTCCTACCCCTGATCGATTCTGAAGCAGGCGTCTTTCGATTCGCATTTCCCCTTCCTACAGACGTCTGTTAAGATATTCGCGAAGCCATTTAGAAATAGGGATCAATTGATTTTCGGGTATAATTGGTCTATTCTTTTCGGCTAATGCGTTATTTGTAAAACTCCTTACGACACCCAGTGTAAGGCCAGCCTTTCACAGCATGCTAACAACGCGAACAAAACCTTACCTTTAATCGATTGATTTAAACACTTCCATAATGAAACCTACAGAATTTAAAGAGGATAGACTTTAGTGGAAGACTTATGCAAAATGTAGTATGTCGGTGTCATATAAGATCCAGCTGCAAGTGCAATAAAATCGAGCAACACTGATTTTATTCAAACGCCATTGTCTCATGAACTTACCAGATGTGATGGACAGACTTTAGGTAAACTGAGTGTTAGCTCAGTGAGCTCCAATTTTTTTCCTGATTTTCGCTCTGTCCATACCTAAATCCCCACAGAAAGGATTTATTATTTCTTAGCCTTTAGACGATTTTACTATGTTTTTCGCAGGAATAAAATAATGCGTAGTTGACCCTGTTTGAAAGCGTGTCAACAATCCGACAATCTGCTGTACGTTTATAGCCTCGACGTTAGCAACATTGAACGGATTATTTTGGTTCAAGCAATCCGCTCTTTAAGAACCGAACATACATTTAATTTTGGTGAACGACGCAGTTTATATTAGAGGAAAGGCTTCGTGTATAACATGCAAGGAAACGCGGGAAAATAGCACAAATCCAGGGGTATTTCATCGAGGGTTTAATGTTGATATTTTTACAAGACAAACCTTTTCACATTCTCGCTTGCACTCTCGAAGACCACGTATGTTCTCACAACATTCGGTATGATATAATTGTTCTGTGATGGAAAAGACAAACGTATTAATATGTTTGTGGGTAAAAGAAAATTAAGAGGGACGAAACCTTTATGCAAGTAATAAATACACAATAGTGTAAACCACAATGCTACCGGAAACTACCGCGTATTTTCTAACAATCTTTTGAGACTCAAATGAGATTACAGTTGGGTTTTAAATGAAAGGTAAACTTCCCAATTCTATACCTGTAATGTTTTAAACACACAATTATTTTAGTTAACACGCACTAATTTTCGGTTCGATTGAAAAGCTCGTGCAAGAGAAGCAAGGTATAGTATTCAATGACGCGTGAAATAGGAAATACAACAAAGGCAAACATCGAATAACCTTTACTTTGTAGCAACTCTAGTCGCCTCTAAAGAGTAGTTACAGCAATCTAACTCACCTCTGGTACTCCCCAGAACAACGAAGACACAGAACACAGTTAGCGACAACACGTACATGACGAACGTTGACAAGAAATTGAAGGGATTATTTTGAACCCCATGATACAAGCCTACTTCAAGTGGCCGTAACATGCATCATGGCTGAACAAACTAAAAGTGCTTGAGATTACCCGCCAATCAGAATCAAGGTGCATTAGCTGTGAACGCTGTGATTGGCTGATCGTCGTGGTGCTAATTAGACCTTTGACGGCTGTCTTTGTTATGAAAGACGTAGAAGGTTTAAGATTAGTGCTTTGCTTCTATTTGACAGCTAGCCATGACAGATAACATACCGCAGAGTTTTATTTGTTTTCTATTGTCTACCGCAGTTAGAAATTCATAGCAGCGTTTACAGACTTGTAGCCGTCGTTTCGCAAAGTCATGACCATTTTTTCCTAATAACAAACTAGTGATGTTAATGAAAGAAGGTTAGCGGCTAATTGATTTCGCGCACATCGTTGGCCTTTTTTGATTGCTAAGAACGGGAAATGTGTCCATTAGCGAAACCCCAGAAATTATTTTGAAAGTAAGTCGACACCGCTGATAAAGATGGCTAAAATTTCGCTGCAATAAATAACTGCTGGAGCGAACAAAATCAATTTACGCATCATATTACTATATATGTGGATAGCATCTAGCGCAAAGCGCAAAAGGTTTGTCGCAACACCTATAGTTTCAGCCTATTTAAATTAAATGTACACAATACTATACATCTCTTAAGCAAGAACACGTTAAGACGTTTAATATAAAGATGCTCACTTCGTTTTGTCCATCAACAGTCTCGCGGTTCGGACCGTTTTGTGAATGCTTTGACATTCCATGTATGGAATGTTTTCTTTGCTGGCGTAAAGGGGACCTACACTACAGTACAGTAGTACAATCGGGAAATACGAACATTAAGAACTTAAATTGAGAATAGATATTTAAATTTTCAAGTTTGCTTGTCAACTAAAATGACATTTGAGATGATTAGAAAATATATAATTTACTTATTTATGTCTGAGTGTGACACCTGCACTTTGTCTAAGTAATCCCAAGCACTTCACGTCAGGTTTCGGTTCAAAATGGCATGATTCATGTAAGATTAAAACCGTCTAGAACGTTTGGGGCCAAAGTTAAAAGATATTAATGTTTATTTTCAGAATATTAGTACCTAGTTTGTAGTATGCATATAGTCATAGCTAGATATTAAATATTTCTCCCATGAAGTAGAAAGTTGGTCGTTGGAGTAAGTTGGTAATTCTACGTTCGCCCATATGCCAACAGTCAGTAGTGACTAGTGTCTTTCTTCCTTTCTTGAACTTCTATCAAGAATCCTTTATTTAAGAGGTAAAGTTCGGACAAGCACTTCTGTTTTACACGGGGGCGCACTCTTGAATCCCTTGGAGTAGGCCGCAAGCCCTTCGCATAACCATAGACATATAAACATAGCAACGTGTATATTATATTTATACAAATGAAATAGTACAAATTTGTGTTTGATATTCAACCACGGCATGGAGAAACGCAAGCACATACAGACCATAAAACTAGGTAAACAAAAATTATAGCCTTTGCCCAACGGCCCCGAAACAAAGAAATCAGTAGCGCACACAGTCTAAATTCCAGGGGTACCTCCTCGCGCGAGTTCAATCCAGTGAGCTCTATATATATATATAGAGCTTACTGGTTCAATCAAGCCACAAACATAAAAATAGGTACGCAATGTGTTCGAGTATGTAGCACATCATTAAAATGCCAATGGTCAACTAATGCTGCAGTAAGTTCAAATGTGTTTATCGAAATAGAAAGAAAAAAACCAGCGGCGAGTAAAAAGCAGAAACCTAACGAAACGATAGGTTTTTTTTGTACTATGGATTTTCGACGTACTTGATTCTGGATAGATATGTAATTAATTTCAGTGTTAATAACATCTGATTTTTTTAGCAAAATGGCAAAACTAAACTGGCATGATGACATACATTGAACAATACAAAAAAAATATTGATCCGATTTCATTTCACTGATCTTACCGCCGTTATTTATTAAGATATTCCCAGCGATCTACACGCTATATATCTCTCGATACATCTCCATCGATCTACACGCTATATATCCCCAGCGATCTACACGCTAACGCCTAACTAAATACACACACACACACAGCATGATTCGGCTTTAATGTTCTGGTTGGCCCGGGATGATGATCCAACCTGGAATATATTTTTAATACTTTCAATACAGGACAGAAAATGGAAATCCAACAGCACAGCTCAGAATGATGACCATCTTTGACCTCCAAAAAAACGATCGTCTACAAATATATTATATTTTACCCTCATTATGATACCAGATTGATAACATGCCATTCACCTCACCAGGTAAAACCTTTTGAGTTACACCATAAACAATCCAAAAGGATTGGATTTTGGATTATCTGTGGTTACACTAAAGAGTGACGAAAATATTGAAAATGTTACACGTCAGGGGGTATGTTTGCACGAACAAGGAATTCATTCTTTGCCTGAAGGCATTTTAAAGTGGGTGAAACAGTAAATATCCACGACAAGTATTCTAAATAGTTTTTCCCGTGTTTAATTTCACACTTAGGAAACTATAGTATGGCATGGCATAACAGAGATTAGGGTAGCATAGGATAGCATAGGATAACATTGGATAGCATAGGATAGCATAGGATAACATTGGATAGCATAGGATAGCATAGCACCTGTGGCGTTTTCAGTTATCACATATTTCCACATAAATTCAATAAACATGCACACTCATAAGCATTATTTAGGCATACTAAACCAGATATGGAAAGAACACAGTGATCCCAATAATTTTTCGTACATTTTAAAAAATATCACCTTTCAGGTTTGCTAGATTCTGATTATGTATGCGGGTTGTGATCAAGTGCCATATTAGATAAGTAATTGCATTGGTGAAAAACACTCGTGTTGGAAATGCAACTGCAACTTGACTAAACACAGGCCAGATCAAGTTTAAATTGCACATAGGTATATAGCTAGAGTTCTACAAGCTGCGTGTCTCGCAAGGAGTTCTCAGTTGAAACAGGAACAGGATTTTTAGGAAAAGAGTGTATGTCCCAGTTAACCAGTTTTTCTTGTGTAAATAACGATAAAAGGCTGAAGTAAAAACCGGAACTGCAGAGCCTGTTTAGAAGGGAACGTAGGACCAGCGTAGGACCAAGACATTCTCATGCATAATAAAATGTTAGGGTGAAAAAGTATGGGACAAACAAGCCTTATGTGCCGTGCTTGGTCAAGAGCTCTTGTGTCGAAGTCGAAGACAGGTAAATTAGCCACCAAAGGCCCACCATGGCCGTTAACGTTATTTAAATTACCAATCAACTATCCTCAACTATTGTTGTTTCGCAGGTAGAATAAGTGCATAATGTAAGTTTACTTAATCTTGAAGAGTGCTAGAGACAAACGTCTGCACTTTGAGTGGAGTTTACTTCAGCATTTTATCCACAAGGTGATCAATCATGTTCGGATGTCGACCCTTTCCGGAAAGTCGATAATAAACTACCGGTGCTATATCGGCCCAAAGTGACGTTGATGGAGCTTCGCGTTGTAAATCCAATAATGAGAAACAAAAATAGTAAAATGCCATCGGCGTGAATGTGACAGTTATTAGCCAGAATAATACAAAACCACTCGACCAATACGATTTGACCGTTGCATAAACTAAACAAGGAAACGAAACAGATGTACTGATTTATGGGAACTATGGAAAATATTTTAATATTTGCCTATAAAGAGTGATCATCTAGTGAAATCTCTGATTGACATTTCTACTAAAATTTGACTTTAAAAATTTCACTTCTAATGGGGTTTGCAATTATGCAATATATATGAAGGATTTCAGATGGCGGCTGAGTGTAACAGAAAACGGAGATTGTGACAGAAAACGAAGATTGAGGAGAATTTGTGTCGTGCCTAAATGTAGACACTTTTAGCAGTTTTAGAGCAAGAAATATGGAATTGACGATTTTGTCTCTCTATGTAAATTTCGAGTCATTATAATTATTAATTTCTTTAGAGATTTATTGTTTTCACAGTTAATAAATACCAAAATATTAGCATAGCTGGAAAAATCGACAGGCTGGCTACGCTACTGTCTCAAATTGTCTTTTGGCCGTAAAATGGGCAAGTCCTATGACTGTACTAAAACAAAGATTACATTGATATATTGATTCCTCGTATACAGAAGAGACAATGGAATATCGAAGAGGTTCAACCCTTCCGAATTCCGATTCAATCGGAAGGCTCACATTTTCTTAAACTTTCCGATCTCCTCTTGACCTAAGAATGATTTAAGTTCAACCCCGTCATTTTGTGAAAGAAGGTGGACATCGCATGCAAGCCAAAGAATCACATTTAATGTTTTTCAGTTTATCTGATTCTGTCTGAATGCCAAAAAAAAGTGGGTTGTAAAAAATAAGATTGATAAAAGGTTGCCAATAGCTTTTTTTTGGCATGTAGATTTCAGAAAGGATTCAAAGGAGACTCGATTTACTCATCCTAAACCCCGCATATAAACCTCTGTAAAATTCAAAAATCATTTCTGGATCCGTGAGGTGGGAAACGTCTGCATGATGATCATAAAAAAGAAAAGATGTGATCACCGATATTCTTCACTGAATTTAAAAGGCTCTGCGCGCGGAGCTTAAAGAAAAGCTTTTATCTCATCCCACTCAGCGTCTGCACATACATTAACTTATCACCATATTGCCATAGGCTGTTATTGAGGAGTACAGACCTTTAGGCTCCACCACTCGTACAATTACAATTTCGACTTCAAATAAATTATATGCAACGCTGTGACAAAGCAATTTGTCAGATCTGTTCGGAAGCACGTTAACAATATTTGAAAGGAACGTGCATGGCAAAACGTGAGCAGGACCGTAAAATTTACAACCAAAATTCTTCATTAACATCAGCCATCAGGCAATTGCTTATATATTGGCCTAACAAACCACAAATTGGTGAAATGTACTCAGTATATAATGTACACTCAGCTAATTTATAAGTCACGGAATGACGGAAATCTTCCCTCAGAATTTTGAGCCTAGACCACGTATCGGGTTTAAACATAGTAGGAAACCGCGGCGCCATTTACAACTTCAACCTTGAACTCGAAACGCGCAAGGGATGGACCACCAATGGTAGTAATACTAAGGTAGCAATATTAAGGTCCATTTACACTATGAGATTTGTCGTATACTCTTATCCTGGCGTATGTGAGCGTATGAACTGAACTCACGAAAAAATGTGTTAATGTAACACTAAATTCCGCCCTGAACAACATGAATGAAGATTGTGGAATAAACACTCTTTTGCATTCGTCAGAATGATAATTACATACAACATATCGTGCATGAGGCCTTTAGGGTCCCTAAAAGTCAACAAGTCACTGTCGAAGTCACCGTCTTGAACTCTTTTGGGTATTTTGCAAAGTCGAGTAAAAATTAAGTCACCATCTTAACTTGAACGGAAATTACACACGACATCGACGACAAAGGCCTCGATAAACCTATATAAGCGCAAAGCGGGAGTGCTTCACACCCCCTCATATCGCGGAAAGAACACGCGATCACGCGTGGGCAAAAAATTATCTGAATTATGACCGACCAGATCCAGTCTGTTTGTTCTGTTCAATCGACCGAAAGATCAAAGAAGTTTAGCGTCGCTTTTATTCCTTAGACGGACCGTGCGAACTCCACTTACTCGATCCGGCAAAGGTTTTTGGAAAATCGTCATCCGAAAGTGCGCAGCAAGAAGCTGAAGACACTCCGTTCGATCATAAAGAGAACAACACACGATACACAGGTACTCCAGCGCATGCAGATAGAGTTCACTCAATAGACAGTCACGTAGCTAGAGGGGGGGCCCGAGGGCCAGGCCCCCCCTGGCAGAATTCCTGGCCCCCTTTCAAAATATTATGTCAAAAAAATATTTTTATTTATTATGCTCTGCTTTGAAGTTGCAATACATGCGTATTTCAGATTTTCAGCATTTTCCTGCCTTCCTAATAATTCAGTATATAATTCAATTACAATAATTCACAATAGTAATACAGTAAGTCAAGTTAAAGACTCAATCGAGCCCACTAACAACATTGATCAGACTGATTCCGACATCCTTCTTTTGATTTGCCAAGCCTAATAAAAATATCCCGGTAAAGTCTTTTACAATTAAATTTTTCTTTGACTTTGCTTATCATTCACCAACCTCGTACCCAGGTTGGAGGTAAAATGCCCTGGGTACGAGGTTGTTTGCACTATACTCGGATAATTGCGAGGGCGACATTGACCTATGCTATACAGATTTGAATTTTTTATGTCTCTATGTACTATTTAGCTACTCGTATTGGTCGCTACCCTAAAATGTAGCTACCCTTGTATTGGCGGTTAGCCTTAACGACAAGGAAGGGCGGATTCGATAGTGCATTAAAAAGGCATGTACAGCCTGTTATATTTTACCTTCTTGAGTTGCCCCCCCTCAAATATTTTCGGCCCCCCATGACATGAAATCCTGGCTACGCCACTGTCAATAGAACATGGTATTTGGACATGGCAAATGTGGTTTAGAGCTGAGTAAGTAACTTCGCTGTGATACGCTCGCGACTCGTCTCGTTGAAGTTCAAGAACAGCCATACAAGCTGAATGTTTGCAAACCCGACAGTTTTAAAGAAAACATCAACAAATTTTGCAGCTGTGCTTGGTCTTCAAAGATAGATGACACTTGATATGACACTTGTATTGAAATATTTGGTGGTTGATATCAGGTTTTGTCCAAGATTGTCGATAAATCCAAATTCCTTAGCATGTTTACCATTTTTATAGTAGCTAAACTGAAAATTGCATTAGAATTTTTATTGAACTTTTTTGTTTTCATGTTATTGTAATTATTTGTTAGTCATCCTATAGCTTTGTGCTTTTGTGATAATCCAAAGTGGTATCTCCAAAGAAAGTGTAAAAAAAAATAAAAAAAATAAAGGAATGAAAAATTTTGTGAAAACTGTGAAATTGACATGTACATTTTTTGAAACTTGGTTTTTGTAAAAAAACCTGCGCAATTTCCAAGCGTATGTGCAGTGATGAAAAATTCTTAAAACTAAGTACTACTACACGTCAAAGCTGAAGCGTCACCATTACTGTGGTTTGGCTGTGTTAGTTCGTCTTTTGTGACGAAGCACAAAAGCCTCCGTGACACGTAGTAACTATATCTACCTGATATATGATCGAACCACTGCGGATGGTTCTCGTCAGTTTTGATTTATCGTACAGGATGTCTAAATTATAAATGAAGTATACAGGCAAACTTCATAATTTACACAAAATTTGGAAACATGTTAATGAATTGTAAGCGAATTTTCGGCGTCTCTGTTTAACTGCATGAGTGTAGCTACGTAAATGTGTTTAGAAGACTAAAAAGGGCACCTTTAAAGTTTAAATAATCTACAGCACCAAAATCGTCTACAAAAAGGCCTGCCGTGCTCCCCGCCCCCGGTTCCTATACGCGCTGTCGTAGGCTGTCGCCGCTGTCGTTATAGATTCTGTTATACGAAGACACGCTTGAGTATACCACAGCGTTAATGCGATTGTTTTCAGTCCATTTCTTTAATATCTCAAGTAAACACTTGGTTCTTAAAGCACAAAAGAGTTTAATTCCCCAGCAAGATTTCAAAGCTTGTAATGAAATTGTAATTCAAGAGGCAGCATAACTGTCAACTCAACGTTCAGTGCATGCGTGAGGAAAACTTTAGAAAATATCAAATGTCAAAACGAATATCAACGATAAATATAATAAGACCATTAATTTTTCGATAATAATTATTGATAACCGATATATAGACCTTGTTTTCATCATGATTCGTCCAACAATGCTGTATACAGCTTGTCTCTGTTTATTGTCGATGATCATGCACTAAAGAACGAGATGTGTTGCTATTTTTATTTAAAATTTTTTCCGTCACCGCACTAACAACGGCTCATGAGAAAAATGGGGCATTCTAACGATTCTATGCGTCCCTTATATATATAGCGATATTTTAAACGCGAAGCAAATTTTCAGTTTTTAGAAAGAGATTTACTTTTGAATGCAAAATTTGGATATTAACCATTTTTACCATAGTTTTTAAGAATATTAGGACAGGAACAAAAACTGACTCGGTATAATATAATCAGGCGTTTCTGCCGGTACAGAGTTCTGCTATTATAGTCAGACGATAGAAATTATTAAATTTTAAAATGTACACCGGTGATCGATACCATGCATGGCAAGCAGCCTCATGAAGCAGCTTCTCCCAAGTTTTGTTTATAGCGCGGTGTCAAATTTAGACAACACGTTTACACAACAACGCAGTTAATGGAAAAACATTGCCAAGTTTTGCTAGTCTATCTTAAAATCGTGTGAAAGTTTGTATTGTACACGCGAGTATAAAAAAACACCCTGTAAACATCACTGTTATATACATATGTTGCACATGCATGTTGTTCACAGAGAATGATTTCATAATAACCCTTTATGAAGAAAAAATCCCTCTAAAAATATTTTCTCTTAATAAAGTTATACGAAGTTCTGCATGGACGTTGTAGGACTGAGTTGCTTCATTGAATTGCACCGACGAAGCATGCTACGCGTACGCAATGTTATATAAGGCAGGGGCCGGTTATATAAACCTCTTACTACATTTTGCGTAGTTAAATCGTAGTTAACTCAGAAATGAATTACTCTGATTGGTCAATTCTGTCACTAACTAAAGTTAAAAGTTAACCACTTTTTTATACAACTAGTCCCAGACTGATATATTAATTGTGTTAAATGGTTTTTATTCTTTCTACGCGAGGTAGGAGATCTTTACATTAGGTTAACTAATGTGCTTAATGTTCTCTTCTTGTTTCGTTCTTCTCTTCTTTTGGATCTTAGTCGTTTTAGTCGTGTCTCCTTGGTCTGTTCTGTAAGGTTGAGCTTTTTAACGTTTCATATGCTTTTTACTCCGCTAGTCCACTGAGGGTTCTGTTGCTGTGCACATCCTTTTATATGGGTGTGATCCACACTATCCAATCAGCGTTGTAGGTTACAAGTGTGGGTTGGCGTTAGAAGCTCGGTCCAGCTCTCGATTTTGTTTACTTAAGGGCGTTGACGCACCAGTCGAGTTGGTCTTTTGCTTAATCGATCATTAATTGTTAAAACTTGTTCACAACTAGAAATATTTATCATCAACTTAAAGTACAATTATTAAATTATTACTCTGTGAACCACATCTCAAACTTATAAACTATTTTATTAATAATTTTATCGAATCAAGCTTTTCGTGACGTAAGGCTTTAAGTGCTTAACCGAGCAAAATATAACAAAGAAATGATTGACACAAACTAGTATCCGTCTAGAACTTATGTTCTTGAATCCTGACGTACACTTGTACTTTGTACGACAGTACTATTGTTTGGGAGAAGATCCCATGGGCTGTCACCTCATGACAGGAAAAGTAATTTTTGTGATTCCGAAGGGTCATACTAATATTTACATTACACGTCATTTTATGTGACATGTTACCCAAGTAATTTCCTCATCGATATTGACCTTCTATTTTTTGACCGAATGCTAAATTACTATATATATGCGCATTTCGTAATAATTGTCTGAAGTAAAAAGCGCGGCTACTGAATTTTGCTGCGCAAACTGCTAAAGTATTATTATTCGTGCATAATGTTTCTCAGAAATGCATAATGTGCAGTGTCATATTGCGTTAATTCGTCGATGAATTTACTAGAATTTATTTCTCATTTCATTTCATCTTGCACTGAAAAGATCAAAACAATAAAATGAAGCCAGGAGAACGAATGCGAATGAGTGCATTCAAAAAAGACGAGGAACCGGCGGAGGATGATAATGACGGTGGACAAATGAGGTAAAAAAGTTCCTTAAATATTGGCTAAAAATTCCAATTTCACTTTTCAGTATACACTTGACGCGTTGAAAATTTTTTTACGGCAGTACTGTTCGACGTGGCCAGTGCTTTAGAGCAACTTTTCTTCAAGAAACATTAAATAATAATTTGGACATCAGAGAAACTGACGATTATCGACGAAATGCGTTCCACTATGCGGTGTCAAAGCCGGATACTTTGAAAAAGTTGTTGGAAAACGTTAAGGAAGTACGTTTGAAACATTAGTCATTAGAATACTAGATTTCTTAGGGCCAAGCCTAATCACTTGTACGTTATCTGTAATAATGACTTATTGGGTCATTAACGCATACATATAAACTTTAATTCTAAATAAATCCTGGTACAAACGTATATATATAGGGCCAGGTGGTACGAATTTCTACTTATTTTTTGTTCATATAGAAATCCTCAGTGGATGAGGCTTTTCATCAGGCAGATAACATACAAGGAGAAACTCCGATACACCGTGCAGCCGTCATTGCAAATATTGAGGTACCACAGACAATTTTGTCTTCATGTCATCAATAAGGGGCTGTTTACATGATCCTTGTTACCCAAGATTCAACAAAGCGTGAGATGATTTTGAGGTAACAACAATAGCATGTGCTGGTTTGGTGTCATAAAGACTTATTTCAATACCTCAAAGTCCTCTCAAGCTTCGTTGAATCTCGGGTAACCGGGCTCATGCAAACAGCCCCTATAAGTTTCTTTTATTTTATACCTCGTTACAAGTTAAACTTCGTTAAATAATATAACTGTATACTGTTACCTGTGGTGTAACGCACGTTAGGTTGGTCCATGCAAGAGACTCGTATCCCTATGTCTATATATATGCCAGGACAGATAAAGAAACATCATATAACCGCAGTATTTGACCGGGCACCCACACGGGCCTCTATAATACCACATATACCTATAAAAGCTCCACTTTTCATCTGTCAAATTGAACATTTGGAAAGGGTTTACAATTGATCATGTGCTAAAAAAGGAAGCCTGTGTTTGCGAACAGCTTTATAAGCAATTGCAGCAACCTTTGCAGCAGCACTGTTCAAATCTATCTATTATTTACTAACTCGAGTATTTTTTGCAGTCATTAAAAATACTTTATGAATATGACAACTCGTTAATGAAGTTAGAAACGAAAATAGCAAAGAGATCTGTTCTTCATTTGGCTGTGAAAAGTAAATCAATGATCGCTGTTAAGTTTGTCCTCAGTAAAGACACTGACTCTGTGAACAGAGTGGATAATATGTTGCAAACGCCTGTCCACTATGCTGCTGGTATTAGACAATCCAATATTTTGGAATTCTTAATATCCAAAGACGGCGACACGACACTTACGTGAGTTAATTTTCACACAACTGCTGGAATATTAGACTATTGTAATGTGACATGTCAAAGTAGTCCGTCATATTGGCGTAGGTTTTTTAGAAAATTCTTCTTAAATCACAAACGAAATCGTAAACCGAAGTAAACTGTGATATCATACCCATGCAGACGCTTTGAATAACTATAAATATAGGCACACTGACTACAGGCTTGCGAATGTGCTGTGAGATGAATTAGGTTATAGGTGTATGTAAGGTTATAATATGGTTATAGGGAAGGGGTCCCTTTCAATATTTTAAACAGGGCCCCCAGAAGATGTCACGTACGCCTCTGTCAAGAAACGGACTATGACGGCTACAAAAGCTCAATAGCGTTATTCATCTGTCAATTTCCAGGCTACATTCTACCTTATTCGCCATTTAGGTAAGGGAGATGAATTTTGTTACATTTTTTACAGAGACGCAAATAATCAAATGGCACTTCATATAGCTGCAAGTAAAGGATTAAAAAAGAATGTCGCACTGCTTTTACAAGAGAATCCAGATTCTATAAACATCGCAGATAATAGTTCCCGAACATCATTATTATTAGCAGCACAAAACAATTTCCCCAACCTAGTCTCATATCTACTTTCCTTGAATGCTGATTACGAGATTCCGGATAAATTTGGACTTTCCGCTTTTGACTGGGCTATTTCGAGCAACTCGTCTGAAGTTGTTCACGTTTTCCTGAAAGCTGAGGTCTGGAAAAAGGTAAATTGAAATTGTTCAAAATAAAAAAAGAAGATTAAATTAATGAATTAGAACAATACGCCATGCAGAATCAGTAGAGTTCTCGGTTAAAATTTTCGGACATGAAGGCAGAAGGATCGAAGTGGCCATTTCATTACATTCATGGTATCTAATATACATATATATTATACACGATATCATTTATATATTTTAGATAGTGAGTAATTCACACCATGGACCTGAAAGAAGTTTGGCAAGAATGATTAAAAATATGCCTGAAATGGCGATGGTGTTATTAGATAACTGTGTATCTACTGAAGGAAGCAAAGAGAATGATGATTTTAAAGTTATTTATGATTTCTTTTGCTTAGAACAAACAGGTATGCATGTAAATATTAGCTATAAAAACAAGCCCCGTTAACACAATACTCAATTTATCGGCACGGCTAAAATTGGTACCCATGTCCAGTTTTATTAGTGTTCAGGCTACCAAAACAAAGGCCGGGCACGGATGAAATTGGCACTAGTACTCAATTTAGCCGTGCCGTCCGATAAATATAAATTGAGTGTGGTGTAAACGGGGCTATATATATAGTAATAAGTATCGGTAGAAGTATAAGGTATAGGATTGTTTCTATAAAAAAGCATCTTATTTATATCCTTCTTCTGCTTCCCTTGCTCCCTTCGTCACAGTTCAATTCAGTGGATATAACGTAATCCAATTTTTGTCAACGAGCTTTAAGGTCGAAGGCAGGACGCGATGCGGCAACACTACGCGGTTTTTCAGTTTTCAGAAACATATATAAATTCAATTCTGCATGGAGGCAAAATTTGGAATCTATTGATGCCAAAGCAGTGTATAGTATATTATACCAAAATGTATATTATATATATTATATATAATTGTCAAAAAGCTATTGTAAGCCACCATAGGAAGCAAGTTACTTTAAATTGATGATTATAATATTGATATATTTTTCTTGTATGTTAGGAATGAACGGGTGCCTACATCCCCAATTTAAAGCCTTATATATACCATGGTGCAAAATGAAAGCGAGATATGCTTAGCGCATCCATTATCTGTCAAATATGTTAATGTGAAATGGCGAAGAAGAGGATTCAAATACAGTTTGGCGTCAATAATTGTGAATTTGATCTTTCACATCTGTCTTATGGTATACACAATACTAGCTCTTGGAAAAGTAGACACCAGCAAACGTGAGTTGCACTGATACTAATTTGTATAGTTTGTATATAGCTATGTGCCTTGCAGACAGTACATGCAAACGTATAATACCACTGATATATCGTATGATGTCTGCAAACAAGCTGTGCCTGAGTGGCCCCAATGTTAGCAAGTTGTTATCGTACTGTCTATACAGGGTGTATGAAAATTTGCAATTTCTGTTTTCAGTGATAATGAGCATTTCAAAGCATTGTTTGACAAATTTTCATAAGAAAATTGTCCAATTCACATTGGTGGAAGAATGTGATTTTTATCGACTTTTTTGTCGACCCATGCAATACTCGTTCATTTTTTTAACAGAATGACGCGTACATGGATGTCATTTGAAAGGCAAATAAATTAACTTAATAATGATGTAAAAATCAATTAATTTTGTCACATATATTCTGCGTGAATTTTTTTTATACTTTGCACTGATTGTATTACTTTATACTGCTTGAAAACCTTTGCAACACTCCTGTTCTACCAAATATATATGTTAGAGAATCTATGTAACAAGTTATTTTAATAAACAAATGCTATTTTTGTTAACAGTGGCCGACACTGCTTTTTCCAAGTTGACAACTGCTGAAACGACTTGTGAGACCCTATGAACTGAGAAACAAGTTGTCCGTTTTATATCTGTTGTTTTTATATACTATTCTTATAGGTATTAGTGGCCATTATCACCACGGTGTTGCATCAACTTCTTCTGGCATGATGTTGATAAGAGCAATATTACTAATCATAACATTTGCAACTGTGATAAAAAATCTCTTTCAGGTACGATATATCTTTACGGCGGCAGTGTCGGTGGAAGTTGAATCGGCATACATTTCGTTTTGCCTGTCAGTTTTATCTTGTTTCGCTCTGCTTTGTTTTGTCTCGTTTCGTTTCGTTGTTTCGTTCTGTCTTGTATCGTATCGCTGCGTTTCGTGCATGGTAAATGTACTGTTTTATTGTAAGAGCCCACTGTAATTGGTGTACACTGTTGTGGTGTCCCTGCTAACGATTATATTACCGTTGCATTGCATATTTTTGACCTTGCTGTATTTTAGGTGAGAGTGCAAGGCCTCCGTTATTTCAAAATGCCACGTCACTACCTTGAAATTATGTTGCACGTCACTGTTGTCATGTTTCTTTTGCCTGTAACTGAAGAATTATCACTAGTGCAAATTGGTAGTGGATCGTTCGCTGTCTTATTTTCATGGTTTACACTCATTCAGTTTCTCAAAGTTTTACCAGTGATGGGAATATATATCATAGTCGTCCAAAAGATTTTCTGGACTCTTATGAAGGTGTGTGCAAACAAAATAGATTAATTTAAAAAGGCCAGTGCTGCAGGGTACGTTAGAGGTGGAACGACAGTGACACACCAATGTAGTAAGATGGTGTGTCATCTCAGTTTTTCAATGGCTCTTGGTTAAGTCAAAAACGTCTTTAATTTTTCCTCACGCGTGATTCAAATACCAACTTAACTAGTCCATATATATAATTGTGAAATGAATATTGTGAAATCGAAATGAGCATGTGAAGATGTTACTCTGAGTCACCAACCGGGTAAGCTGAAAAATCAGCTCATGACCACAGACCACGGTAATCAACTATTTTTTCAGCTTACCTGGTTGGTGACTCAGAGTAGCATCTTCATAACGTTATTTCATATACACCTGCATGAGTCTTATTCACTATGAGTTTATATTATAATCATAAAAATATGATACGTTGTTTCCTATAGCCATAGGAGTGATAGGATCCTGTGCATTGTAATTGATAAGTAATCGATAAGATGGTTGCTTTTGTTTTTTCATGTTTTTAGATCTTACTCGTGGTTATTGTGTATTTATTCAGTTTTTCAAGCACCTTCTTCGTACTGTTGATAGAATATGATAGTTTTCGCAATGTATACATGTCTGCTGTATCCACTTTCGTCGTCATGACATCTGGATTCGAATACAAGGAACAGTTTGTCAACCGTGGTTTACATCCAGACATTTACGAACTAAAATTGATTATTCTTATTTTGTTTATACTCGTCATGACGATCGTTATAAGCAATGCTCTAATTGGCCTAGCTGTTGGTGATACCGATGAAGTTATGAAATCTGCAAAATTTGATAAATTTAAACGAATGGTACGTAAATTCGAAGATCACTCGATTCAATTGTTCTTTAATTGATTTAGTTTAGTTTTGATATAAAATTTAGTTCAGTTAAAGTGGTTGGCAAATGAAATGGGCGACTATAAGTTCTTTTTCTTCATAGGCTGAATTTGTTGTTCATCTGGAGAAAAGTGTGAATCGCATCCCATGTTTGAGAGTGAAGGAAGATAAATTCCACACGGAGTTCCCCCAAAGGAAAAAGAATATATATAACAAGGTTTTAGATTTGCTGTACTTTGGTAGCCAATTCGACACAATTGAAGATAGAAATGAAACTGAAGAACATGAACATGAAATTGAAACAACCTTAGAAGATCATTTTGAAAAAGCAATTGATAATAAATTGGAAAGTCTTCGCTCAAGCCTAAGAAACGAATTTAAAGAAGTCCAGGATCAAATTAGAAATGAACGTGAATGTGTAGACAGAAGAATGAAAACGATACTAGAAAGAATTGGAGGCGAGTGATATATATATATATACATTGGGTTTAAAAAAAAGGACCACAAGGTTTTTTGAAATTTGAAACCATAGTGAACTGTGTTTATGAGATAGTCTACTTTTAAGGCGGCTATCAACGCGCAAGCCGTATACGTGCAGGTATACGTGCGATTTCGTGTACGTACGTGCAAGTGGAGGCCGGACGGCCTTTAAAGGAATCGCCTTAAGTATTACTATGACTGACACTTGGTCCTGAAAGTACAAAAGAGTTTAATTCCCAAACAGGATTTCAAGCTTCTAATTGTAATAAGGCGCATCACTGTCAGCTCAACTAAAGTTCGATTTTATGCATGAGGAATTATAAGATTTAAAAAATATCAAATGTCAAAATACGCGATTGTCAGAACAGTTTACTTGAACGTGCAATTGCCTAGCAACTTTTTTCCGGTCTCTACATTATATTGGCCAAGGCCAAGCCAGCGTATTGCCAAAACCCGCCACGTACAGAAGTCGAAAGCTTATATCTTCTGGTATGTATATATACTTTAATATACTGGCTGTACATTTAGCACAAAATATGCGCACCATGTTATAATATAAATAACTGTACTTCGTGTGTTGAATTGCATACTCACTATATAATTATGTATATTATATCTTTGTGTTTTATGTATCAATTCAATATAAATCAACAACGTTGATTGCCTATGCGTGACAATTTCAAAGTAAACGTGGGGTTATCAATTGCATGCCGACTTTGTAATTTTTGTATGCCTGCTTGTGCGATACATAATAGTCAGAGATTATATATACCTGAGATGATATAGAGATACGAGATGCTACAGTATAGAGAGATTATATACGCTCATCGTGTATATCAGACACTCCATACCGGGACAATACTGTCATGGGTATGTCATATGACGATCAAAGTTAGGTAGGCCTAAACCAGGGAAAACTACATGCGAATATGTTACTGTTTTCATCATGATTCGCCCTGCAATGCCGTGTATAATTTGTCTCTGTTTATTGTCGGTGCATGATTTGTTTATTGTCGGTTGGTTTGAAGTGGTTTCCATTTAGTCGTTATGATCGCTTCAGTCATTACGATCGCTACAGTGAAAAAAATTCGTTACGAAACGTAACGTAAGGAACATTTTCTATCTCAGCGATCACGACCATTGCGATCGTCGTGGTCGCTGAGATCGCCAGCTAATAGACCAGCTTGCATGCAAACATAGTGATGCAAATTAACTGTTACCCTAACCCTAACGTTAACCACGCCTATCGAAAAAGCGGAAGTGAACTACGATGATAAAAAGGCGCGGCGCTTCTGCCAGCAAAATTGCTGCTGATGTGGATTTCCCAAGACGTCCACTTCAAAGTTCCGCAGTTTAGAAGATTTGAAAAGTTATAAATTTTAAAATGTACGGTTGTACACCAATATGCATGGCGGTCTTATGAGGTATAGTTGAAAACCAATCAATCATTTATTGTTTTTCCCACTTTTTCCATGGACACATTCAAAAAATAATGTTTGTTCCTTTTGAGCGGTGTGAGATTTAGACTACATTTACTCTGGGCCGGAACAAAAAAAATGACGGCAGAATTTACACTGCACGGTCCGTGTGAATTCCGGTGCGGTTTCGTTTATCCGTCAACATTGCTCAACAACAAAGTGCTGGTCGTTTATATCTATGGGCAGGGGTCGTAAACTCGTAATGCCACCGATAGCGAGAAAAATTCTTGTTGGAAAATTGCTCTCCATTTGGAGTTATCTATACCACTGGTATTTATAATGTTAACTGAAATATTAAAGTTACGTTACAGTCGGTTACGTGATATAAACAAACGTTTTTCTCACATTGAGTTTATGCATGTTGAAAGAAATTGGGCAACTTCTAAATCATGGACTCCCCCAATATATATGAGCAGAACCGATGCGCAGAAACCGCTGTAACGCGTGTTTACACAACGCCTTGATGAGGCACATCACTTTGCCATTTAAGATGGTTTGAAAAAAAACAGGCAGGTTTCAAGGTGATAGCTCATAAATTTTTGCAGTCAACAATGGCCGATTGGAATGCAAAAATAAGACAAATTTTCAAATATGAAAATGAAAATGAAAGACAAAATGAAAATAACTAGTTCGCGATAATTACGATTAAATGAAATTCAGGCAGAGGACTAAATTGACGCTAACTGCGTTAGTATTTAGTAGGTGTGCTGTATTTTAACACTAATGATAATTGACAAAATATCTCAATTTGGTCTCCGCAGACTAAGAATGTAACATGAACATAGGGGTGTCCGAATTTCAGAACCTGGCACTATATCTTTTTCCTGTGTGTGAATGAAAGATAGATATAGGGATGTTCGAATTTCGAAAACCCCTACTGCTATACTAATATTAAAATGAATTTACAAGAAATTTATTTCTCACTCTATTTCCATCATTGAAAGATCAAAACAAAAAAATGGAGCCAGGAGAACGAATGCCAATGAATGTATTCAAAGGAGACGAGGAACCGGCGGAGGATGATAATGACGGTGGACTTCGCGAATCTGTAACATCCATTAGCGACATAGGTTTTGGCAACCCGCTTATGAGGTAAAAATGTTCGCTAACATTGGGTGTAAATTTCAATTCAATTTTCAAAGCACAATGCGTTTTTTCTTAATAGTGCTGTCCGACGTGGCCAGTCTCTTAGAGCAAATTATTTTCAAGAAATAAAATTAGATAGTTTGGACATCAAAGAAACTGACAATTATCAACGAAATGTGTTCCACTATGCGGTGTCGAAGCCGGATACTTTGCGAAAGCTGCTGGAAAACGCTAAAGAAGTACGTTTGAAACATTACGAGCTTTGTGACGTAATAGGACCCAGGTCCCAAGGCCTACGCGAGCCATCCTGGTACAGATTAGTGAGCACAAATTATAAACGGGTGAAAATATAGCTCTGTGAAGCTCTACTGCATGGGTTCAACTCATTTTACAATTCCTCCTTACGGGTGACAATTAACACGGCCCCGAGTGTTTTCCCAACTCCTGCCACTTCCACCCCCCTCCCCTGTAGGTCGTTCTCAATAATGGAGTCTTATTGCGTCTTAGTCTCTTAGGACAGATATAGCTCTCTAAAGTAACACAGCGATGCAAAGAACTTCACACATCTTGGCCTGCTGATTCCAAAAGAGACTAGTTCCTGGCACAAAAATATGGGTCCAGGTGATAGAAATTATATTTTCTTATATAGAAATCCTCAGTGGATGAGGCTCTTCATCAGGCAGATAACAAACAAGGAGATACTCCGATACACCGTGCAGTCATCATTGCAAATATTGAGGTACATCAAATAATTTTGTTTTCATGTCAATAATTAGGTATAGGTTCAAACATGAGATTATAAGATGATATACCTCATTTAGCTTCATTATCATCTCATAATCTATTGCTTGAATTGCATTCGACAAGCCCAGACCTTAATGTTTTCATTGGTGTCGTCTACGCCAGGATAGGAACCCTCCATTAAATTGAATATTTGTCATGAGGCTTAAAGACTTTACAATTAAACATTGCTAAAAAAGGCAGCCTGTGTTTGCCTTAAACAACTCAAAGAGTTAATGCAGCAGCACTGATCAAATCTATCTATTATTTTACTAACTCGTAACTCGTAACGTATTTTTTGCAGTCATTAAAAATACTTTATGAATATGACAACTCGTTATTGAAGTTAGAAACGAAAATAGCAAGGAGATCTGCTCTTCATTTGGCTGTGAAAAGTAAATCAATGATCGCTGTTAAGTTTGTCCTCAGCAAAGATCCTGACTCTGTGAACAGAGTGGATAATATGTTGCAAACGCCTGTCCACTATGCTGCTGGTATTAGACAATCCAATGTTTTGGAATTCTTAATATCCAAAGGAGGCGACACGACACTTCCGTGAGTTAACTTTCACACAACTGCTGGAATATTAGGCTATAACATCACGTCCTGCAGGAAATGGACTATGACGTCTCTGCAGGGCTCAATAGCGTTATTCATCTATCAATTTTCAGGCCTCTAACCTTGAGGAATAGTACAGTGTAGAAGTTCTACTTTATTCGCCATTTAAAATAAGTGAAATTAATTTTGTCACATTTTCTACAGAGACGCAAATAATCAAATGGCACTGCATATAGCTGCAAGTAAAGGATTAAAAAAGAATGTTGCACTGCTTTTACAAGAGAATCCAGATTCTATAAACATCGCAGATAATAGTTCCCGAACATCATTATTATTAGCAGCACAAAACAATTTCCCCAACCTGGTCTCATATCTACTTTCCTTGAATGCTGATTACGAGATTCCGGATAAATTTGGACTTTCCGCTTTTGACTGGGCATTTTCGAGCAACTCGTCTGAAGTTGTTCACGTTTTCCTGAAAACTGAGGTCTGGAAAAAGGTAAATTGAGAAATAAATTCGAAAAGGAAAAGGAAAATAACATTAAATTAATTAACAAATTAGATCTATCGATACGCCAGAATTCTAAAGTTCTGGGATAAAACTGCTTGTCCAACATGCATGCATTCATAATACATAATATGGCATATAACAAGATTTGATTCATGTTTTATAGATAGTGAGTAATTCACACCGTGGACCTGAAGGAAGTTTGGCAAGTATGATTGAAAGTATGCCTGAAATGGCGAAGGTGTTATTAGATAAATGTGTATCTACTGAAGGAAGCAAAGAGACTCGTGATTTAAAAGTTATATATGATTTCTTTTGCCTGGAACAAAAAGGTATGTATATATATATATATATATATATATATATATATATATATATATATATATATATATATATATATATATATATATATATATATATATATATATATATATATATATATATACTGATATATTTATAAATGCTAAAGCTATACAGAATGAAAAGCAATTGAAGTAAAGGGTGTATTATCCTATTATAAACATGCAAGCTTTTGTTAAAATTTGAAACCTTATTATATTATTATATTAATGCAAAACTCAAGTGTAAAGCCCAGTAAAACCAGACGCTCAATTTCATTAATCCAGTTCATTTTGATGATTATAATCTATATATAATCATGCGTGCAATGGCGAGAACAATTTGGAACAAACTTTAAGAATGATGTTTGAAAATTTTGCCAAAATTAGCGGACCAGCAGCCTGCGTGGGCGATTCCAATTTGGTAAAATTTTCTGACATTACGAGTGAAAGAGAAGTGCCATTTAAGAATGCTCAGGTTTATTCAACGAAGTTCCAAACCTCGGGCAATTTTGGAGCGACTAATTAATCAATCAGCACAGCTAGGAGATAACAAACTAACCATGCAGCTTCGATCGTCCACGAGCTTTCTGCATGAGGCCCAGGTTATAAAAGCTGGGCCTAATATAGTTAAATAACTATATTGTGAGCCACTAGGAAGCAAGTTGCTGTAAATTAATAAGTATTCTTATATATTTTCCTGTTAGGAATGAACGGTCGCCCGCGTCCTCAGTTCGAAGCCTTAAATGCCATGATCGAAAACGAATGCGAGATATGCTTAGGGCATCCATTATCTGTCAAATATGTTAAAGTGAAATGGCGAAAAAGAGGATTCAAATACAGTTTGGCGTCAATAATTGTGAATTTGATCTTTCACATTTGTCTTATGGTATATGCAGTACTAGTTGTTGGAAAAGTACACCCCAGACAACGTGAGTTGCAGATAACAAGTTGTGCATGCCTTGCTAACAGTAACAACGTAACTACAAGTCTGCATTTCAACCAGAAAAATCCTGTTCTCAGTACCAAGATCTGTAAAAAACAAAGCTGTTCATATTTTTTTACAGGCTTTGAGGTTGAAAATGTCAGAAACGACACCCACCATCGCCACGGTGTTGCACCAACTGCTCCTGGCATAATGTTGATAAGATCAGTATTACTAATCATAATATTTGCGACAGTGACAAAAAATATTTTTCAGGTACGATATAATTTCATTACAATGCCTTAATGCAATTTTTGTTGCTTTGTATAAACCTGGCCTTAAACAGACCCAACTCTCCCTAAAAAATCGTGGGGGTCAGGGGCTTGTTGCACATACGGTATGGTTGCAAACTATAAGATTTAACTATTAGAGAAAAGGTATAAATTGAATGAAAAATTTCATGCATGGCTCTGGAATGATTTTAAAAAATCTGGAACAGTCACACACAGAGTTTGATATTTTGATATATACGCAAAGTATATATATACGTTACCTACGCATATATATACTAATTCTGATCATGCTGTATTTCAGGTAAAAGTGCAAGGCCTCCATTATTTCAAAATGCCACGTCACTATTTTGAAATTATGTTGCATGTCGCTGTTGTCATGTTTCTTTTGCCTGTAACTGAAGAGTTATCACTAGTGCAAATTGGTAGTGGATCGTTCGCTGTCTTATTGTCATGGTTTACACTCATTCAGTTTCTCAAAGTTATACCAGTGATGGGAATATATATCATAGTCGTCCAAAAGATTTTCTGGACTCTTATGAAGGTGTGTGCATGATATCATTGTTGGTTCAGCTGTATAAAATATATATTAGCGGATGCGTCGATCTCGAGTGCCCTCGTAAGCATACAAATGCACGAAGCAAGCAAAATAGATTCATTTAAGAATTAGGCTAATGCGGTGTTGCACTCAGCTGCAGGGTAACGTTAGAGGTGGAACGAGAGTGAGTTATGACACACATCAGTAAATGAAGTGAGATGTTGTGCCTTCTCAGTTTTTTAATTGCACTTGGTGAAGTTAAACTGTCCTTATTTTTTTTCACGCTACTCAAATACCAACTATAGTGCAACGTTGTTTCCCATAGGAATGATGCGACCAATGCAATTCTAATTGATAAGTCGCTACTTTTTCTTTTTTATGTTTTTAGATCTTACTCGTGGTTATTGTGTATTTATTCAGTTTTTCAAGCACCTTCTACGTACTGTTGACAGAATATGATAGTTTTCGCAATGTCTACATATCTGCTGTATCCACTTTCGTCGCCATGACATCTGGATTCGAATACAAGGAACAGTTTGTCAGCCGTGGCTGGCATCCAGACATTTACGAACTAAAATTGATTATTCTTATTTTGTTTATACTCGTCATGACGATCGTTGTAAACAATGCTCTAATTGGCCTAGCTGTTGGTGATACCGATGAAGTTATGAAATCTGCAAAATTTGATAAATTTAAACGAATGGTACGTAAATTCGAAGATCACTCGATTTAACTGTTCTTTAATTGATTTAGTTTAGTTTTGATATAAAATTTAGTTCAGTTAAAGTGGTTGGCAAATGGGCGACTATAAGTTCTCTTCTTAGGCTGAATTTGTTGTTCATCTGGAGAAAAGTGTGAATCGCATCCCATGTTTAAGAGTGAAAGAAGATAAATTCCACACGGAGTTCCCCCAAAGGAAAAAGAATATATATAACAAGGTTTTAGATTCGCTGTACTTTGGTAGCCAATTGGACACAATTGAAGATAGAAGTGAAACTAAAGATCATATAAATGAAGTCGAGATGACCTTAGAAAATCATTTTGAAAAAGCAATTGATAATAAATTGGAAAGTCTTCGCTCAAGCTTAAGAAACGAATTTAAAGAAATCCAGTATCAAATAAAAAATGAACGTGAACGTTTAGACAAAAGGATGGAAACAATACTAGAAAGAATAGGTGGCAAGTGAAGAATAGAAGTAGATAAAATAGGGGGAAGGTAAAAAATAGGAGGATAGTAATATGAATGGGGAAAAGTAAATAATAAGGAAAGAACAGAATGGTTAGGGGAAAGTAAAGTAATTAGTTCTTTAGGCTATATAAGTATGTATAACTGGATGTATTAAAAAAACGCAAGCTTTTTTGTAATCTGTTCCGGCTCAAAACTGAAATTTCCTTCTTCCTTTAGGGGCTGTTTACATGAGCCCGGTTACCAGGTATTGAAATTAGTAAATAATACCATGATATACTAATAGTAGCCGTGTAGTCATCCTAACAATAGCGATGACATCCTATATAAACCTATCGATGTGCTTTCTAGGTTTCAGGACTTATTTCAATGCTTTACAAAAAGTTTAAAAAATAGTATATGGTTGCATAGGATATGGTAGGTGGTAAATAAATACGCGTAATAATAATAATCCGACATGTTTTTTTAAAAAATAACTTGCAGTATGTAAAACTGAATTACATGGTAATATATACATCTAACAATCTAATATTTAACATTAATAAAATTGCTGAATCGTTCATATTTGTTCGTAGTGGGTTTCGTGTTCGTTTTTGAAATCATAATCATGCATGGATGGGAATTAAAGTGCTGATCCGTCTTTCAAATTGCTTCACGAAGAGAGTTTATTGTAACATTATCTTGTTTCAGTTTTCTAATACATAATTTTGCAGTGAACAGAGTTTGGAGTCCAATATAGTTCAGCGTAAGCCAAGGCATATCTGGAGTAGAGTCTTTTCTAAAAAGATTGAATCATCTCTAACTCTAAAAATGGACCAAACTTATCCAATTTATAAAGATAGGCTAAAAATATGAATCAATCTTTGCATGCTTTGAGAACAGTTCATCGCGGCAGAAACAGTGTACCGGGAATTGAACCTGGTAACCGTGTGTACAGTTAGATTCCATTTAGTTCATTTTCTATTCTAAGCGTATTTACGTCAGAAATAAAATGTCTACTGGGTAAATTGCAAAACATTCATCTTTGTATCAAGTATATAATATATATCTTACGTGAAACGAGATTCATCAATTATACGCTTATAAATTGTCAACACGCAATGTTTCGCTTTGCAATTTATTTGTGAAAAGTTCAATTTTCAAATGGAAAACCAACGGCGGTTCCGAACACACGGACACTGTTTTATACGAGGGAAACCAGAGTTCCTGGAGAAAAACCCTCACCGAAAGCCGCGAAATCAAACACAAAGTACACAAGCTAGGTTTCGAGATTTTATTAAAACAATCATGTATTACAACAAAGTGTGTGTGTCTTACGAGTTACAAGGAGTGGTTTTGGCTATATATTGAAATCATGAGACAAGAAACGGATAATTTTTGTCCTATTTTTATTAATACTTCACCGGCATGTATTACAAAGCGTGTGTGTTCTCTTTACATATATATACATCAGTAATATACGAGGACATTAACTATTATATTTAATAAAGATCATATGACACATTTTAATTAGATCAGTGCATGTTATGTTTGACATGTTTTAGTACAAAGTGCATGTATAGGTCTTTTTATAGTGTGCAATTGGTTTCTTAATGGTTAAGACCTGTGTTAAGACTGACAACAAACCATACATGCATGCATGCATGAAAAATGTTAGTAGCTAAGTGATCGTGCATGTGTTTTTTATCTTACATAGACTTAACCCATGCATGCACTAATTCTGGTAGAGTATAATAAGGCTATACCATATAAAGATGTCCTAATCTAGAGATGTCCTAAAGATGTCTAAATATATATAAATATATATACACAAAAACTCAAAAAGGCCCGAGGTTATAGGGCACTTTGATGAAAGCTACGTTCGTCCATGCAATAACTAAAATATTTCTTCTGACAAATCATTGGCAGTGTTCCTAATTGTTTCGTTTTGTTAAACTGTGCAAAAATATTTCAAGGATTGAGTTAAGATATTTCATGAGCCCTTATAGAAACAGCATGAAGTTAATGAATTTCCTTGAAAATTTCACTGCAAATTTTGAGCTGAGGCATATAGCCAGAGCATGCTGTCCTTGAAGAAACATGCAAGATTGTGAAAACATTTTCAAAAGAAATCAACTTTATATTTTTTGAGCCGAGGCATATAGCCAAAGCAATAAGTCAACGAAACCAAGGGCAGCACCGAGTTATTTTCTTTAAAATCACTTAATATTTTTAGAACCAAATAAGGGATATTCCCAAAGCAAGCTGCATGCCCATATAGAAACATGCAGCACCACGAGTACAAATCTTTTTCTTAGAGAAACTGAATAAATACTTTTTGAGCCAAGGCATATAGCCAAAGCAAGCTGCTCTTATAGAAACAGCAATGAAAATAACACTGCAACGTTATTAGATATCCCAAGATACCTGCTAACACTTCGAACCACCTAGCAAAGTCAAACAGTACAGACAAAAAGTGGCGCCTTACTTTTCATAAGCACTGCTCGACGAAGCTAAATGATTGGAAATCTCACAGAGACCTTGGAAAAATAATTACGTTACAATGCTACTGCCAATGTTTTTCTCGTAATTGGTTTCTAACTACAGTAGAAATAGGGCATATATATCGTTTCAAGATAACAGCATGCACCCCCCCCCCCATTCCTCCCATATTTTCTTCAAGAAGTTTAAATTCATTAATTGAGAGCATGCTTTTTTATATATGCACATTGTTATAAACGTGCATTCGTGTGTGTTAACTTTGATTGCATAAATTCATGTATTTTAGAGTAGCAAGACAGTATAAGATATACCGTAAAATCAATGTTTCTGGCTTTAATATTAACTGTAGCCTTAAGTTAATGCAAGAGATAAGAGAGATAAACTTTTGGATTATGTCTGCATGCCATTATTGGCTGGCAATGGTTTGCATCTTGTATTTCAGTATTTGCTCATATGTGCGTCTATTTTATGTGCAACTACAGTATCATGAGGTGTATATATAGTGTTGTTTTCTATGTGATGTTCAACTGTTCATATTTGAAAACAAACCATACATGCATGTATGCATGAAGAATGTTAGTAAGTGATCGTGCATGTGTTTTTATTCAATACGGACTTAATTAACCCATGCATGCACTAATTCTGGTAGAGTATAATAAGGCTATACCATGCATAAAGATGTCCTAATATATATATATACACACAAAAACTCAAAAAGGCCCGAGGTTAGGGCATTTGATGAAAGCTACGTTCGTCCATGCAAGAACTAAAATTTTTCTTCTGACAAATAATTGGCAATGTTCCTAATTGTTTCGTTTTGTTAAACTGTGCACAAATATTTCAAGGATTGAGTTAAGATATTTCATGAGCCCTTATAGAAACCGCATGAAGTTAATGAATTTCCTTGAAAATTTCACTGCAAATTTTGAGCTGAGGCATATAGCCAGAGCATGCTGTCCTTGAAGAAACATGCAAGATTGTGAAAACATTTTCAAAAGAAATCAACTTTATATTTTTTGAGCCGAGGCATATAGCCAAAGCAATAAGACAACGAAACCAAGGGCAGCACCGAGTTATTTTCTTTAAAAAAATCACTTAATATTTTTAGAACCAAATAAGGGATATTCCCAAAGCAAGCTGCATGCCCATATAGAAACATGCAACACCCCGAGTAAAAATCTTTTTCTCAGAGAAACTGAATAAATATACTTTTTGAGCCAAGGCATATAGCCAAAGCAAGCTGCTCTTATAGAAACAGCAATGAAAATAACACTGCAACGTTATTAGATATCCCAAGATACCTGCTAACACTTCAAACCGCCTAGCAAAGTCAAACAGTACAGACAAAAAGTGGCGCCTTACTTTTCATAAGCACTGCTCGACGAAGCTAAATGATTGGAAATCTCACAGAGACCTTGGAAAAATAATTACGTTACAATGCCACTGCCAATGTTTGTCTCGTAATTGGTTTCTAACTATAGTTGAAATAAGGCATATATATTATATATCGTTTTAAGATAACACCATGCACCCCCCCCCCCCCATTCCTCCCCTATTTTCTTCAAATAAATTTAAATTCATTAATTGAGAGCATGCTTTTTTGTATATGCAAATTGTTATAAAAGTGCATGTGTGTGTGTGTTTACTTTGATTGCATAAATTCATGTATTTTAGAGTAGCAAGACAGTATAAGATATACCGTAAAATCAATGTTTCTGGCTTTAATATTAACTGTAGCCTTAAGTTAATGCAAGAGATAAGAGAGATAAACTTTTGGATTATGTCTGCATGCCATTATTGGCAATGGTTTGCATCTTGTATTTCAGTATTTGCTCATATGTGCGTCTATTTTATGTGCAACTACAGTATCATGAGGTGTATATATAGTGTTGTTTTCTTTGTGATGTTTAACTGTTCATATTTGTGATATAAATCGTGTTTTTTCATAAATACATACATACACAAGTTATATGTTCAATTACAAAGTATAGTAAGACAGGATAATCGTATATTTACAATGTTTGCTGAGAAATCAGAAACGTAATTACATACAAATAATTCTACAACCAGACCGAATAGTGACCTATAGTTATCATTTCACAATGTTAATTCCGAAAGCCGCAATTGACCGGATTTCAAGAGCCGAAGATGATTTCAATCAGGACAAGGTCAAGATAGAGATAGAAGAAAGAACCTATGGGATTATGTGTGCCATTTGTGGCTATGGTTTGCATTAGTGTGCATGGCTTTTTAGCCATTTATATGCATGTGAAATATGGGTACAACAGTTGTGATATATGTTTTTAGTTTTAACAGGCAAATTATCAACCTAAACCTTAGCGCAGCCCTAAGCGCAACCGAGCAGTCCTAAGCGCAAAACCGAATTATATATTTAACCGAATTTAAGAAACATTTGCTCACATGTATGCATCATGCATTAGCTATGTTCCTGGTGGCCAGAACTTAGTTAACTGAGTTTAAAACTAAAATTTAACTTAAGTTCGTTAACTAAACTTAGTTAACTTCGTTAAGTTAATCATGCACTAACCCCTGCATGCACATTTTTTGACCACCAGGCTACTCTAACCTGTAACGATGCCCGGGCATCGCTGAACGTTGCTTTTTGGCGTCGATTTGGCGTAGTTTTGGCGTATATTAGGCGTCGAGTTGGCCTACATTAGGCGTAGATTTGCCGTCGAAGTTGCCTACATTAGGCGTAGATTTGCCGTCGAAGGTGCCTACATTAGGCGTAGATTTGCCGTCGAAGTTGCCGTCGAAGTCGCCGTCGATTTGGCTCGTCGGTAATAGCTCAACAGAGGCTTATTTAAAATAACCCATCAACCTGAAATAAGATTACAGAAATAAGCAAACTACATTTTTATCGAGAAACACGCGTAAAATCGGGATTGTAATTGTAAAAACAACATCTATAAAACCCTCTGGGATTTCAAATATTTCCTTTCTTGCCATTATTAATATTCATATTCAATTATCATGCGGCCGTTGTCGTTCTTGACCGGAGTCATAAACTCCCC